TGTGACAGCCTACAGACAGGTGCAATGCTACTTCCCACAGCATTTGGGGTTTTTTTTTTAAGTTTTATTATTATTATTTTCTACAAACTAAAAGAATCTAAAAAACATCAATCATCAGAGACATCAGACCTACTGGGTCAGCCGCCCATTTTTTTTTTATAGCAATCCGTAGATATATTCAAATCTACGCATAGTCCCATTTCTCAAGCCAATAATAAAAAGAGTTCCAAGTTTGATAGAAGTATGTATCCTCTTTCTCCTTCAGAGACAAAGTCAGTCTATCCATTTCAGCACAGTCCAGAACCTTTTTTAAAATCAGTTCATCAGTGGGTGGTTCTTCACTCCTCCAATGTTGGGCAAATACAATCCTTGCCACAGTAATTACATGTAGAATCAAATGCATCGCTTGTTTATCAACATCATCAGGCACAATGCCTAGTAAAAAGACTTCAGGTTTAAATATGAAAGATTTTTGTATGCTCACAGCGTTTGGTAACGACTAGTATGTAAGTGTGTAGACAGGCAGCAACTTGCAATATTCATGCTTTGATGCTATGAGCACTTCTCTGGCAGTAAGTGGCCACTGAATCCTGAATAGGCCTGTGCAGAATTGGTGCAACCCCCCCCCCTTTTTTTTTTTTTGCCTGTGAACTCTAACATGTATTAAATGTCAGTACATAGGAAAGCTGTGTGTGACATGGCATGCAGGAGAAGTGGGAGGGGAAGGAGGCATATCTTACTGGCTCAGCACTGCCACACTTCAGCAACCAATCGCAGCTGCTGAGCATGGACACCTCTCCAACCAGCTTGAAGCTCAGGAAGAAGGAACAAGAAGTTAACCAGGAACATTACACGCAAACATATAAAATGTTTCAGCACTGCAGAATTTGACCTGTTTGACTGCAGCCACCTCACCGACAGGAGCATCCGGTAGCGGCTGAGGCAATCTACCCAAACGGTATGTGGCTATGAATCAATGTGCATGCCAAAAAGAGTAAAGAAGAAAAGAAGTGGGTGTGTGTCTATACATGGGTGTGAGTGTGTAAGAAAACTGTGTATCCTTTGCGGCTGCTTGTATGTTTCTGTCTCCTCTCTCTCAATGCAGAAAACTCCAGCAGCCTGTAATCCTATGAATGCTTCCTTTGAGCTCATTGAAATCAGTGGGATTTCCAAATGTACACATTTGTGCTGATATCACACCTTTTGCTGCTAGAAGTCGGGGGAAAGAAATCTAGTAGGGGTTTTCTGTTTTTCAACAAATAATTCTCAAAGTAATTCTGAAAGATCATCCAGCCTTGATACTGACTGTTCAGACAACTAATTTAAACAAGTTTTCCCTGCTGTTAGCACAAATGTTGCCCAGAAAAGTACTGAGGCTTTTTTTCCTTAGGATGAATTCTAGTATCTCTGATGAAGATAAGAATTCTGCCACTCCTTCCTTCCTTATTTATTTATTTATTTGATAATACACGTAGACTTTGTACTAGCAACGTGCTTCATAGTTAGGGAATGAAGGGACCCTCTGTCAGCAAAGACCCCATCTTATCCCACAAGGCTTGCACAAAAATAGAGGTGTCTCTTTGTAGCTTACAGCCAAGGCAAGGATCCTGTGGCCTTCCGGATATTGCTGACTACAACTCCCATCATACCTGACCACTGGCTGTCTAGGAATAGGAGGGGGCCTAGTCACATGTTTGCAGCCTGGGGTCCATAATTATTTACCTGCACCAGTGTCGGCAAGTATCTTCAGAGCTTGTAAAGAGGGACTTTACTGCTTGCAAAGCGCAGTGAAGGGGTTCTGCTCCTGTAGGCAGACTGGAGGGGGCATCTTTGCACACACACTGAGGGTGCGTTGCAGAATCTGCCACGCCATTGCTGATGATCCTGGGGAGCACTGTACATCCCAGCCATGCCAAGAGCGGTTTGCCTTCAACGTGGCACAGCAGTCCAGAACTTTTCTGCTTCTGTGATATTGGATTCCCTGTGTAAAGTCAAACTAGATGCCACCAAGGAGATTCATTGCCAGATCTGCACATAGCTTATTTAGAGGTCCAGTTTGGACGGGGGCCAGGGTCCTTCCCTCTGTGCTTCTTCTTGTGATTTAAATCATTTGCTCCCAGGTTGCTATTGGCTGTTGTCGTGCATGAAGCTCCGACAGAAACAGTGACTCGCGAGGAGACCTTGCCCTTGGCACCCAGTGCCCAATAGTCGACCCCACAACCCAATGCAGGGACGGCTGAACCAGCTACTGCATCTTTCCCTGAGCCCCAGCCCGTTGAGCAAACGCCTGGACCTTTATCAGAGACAGAGAGTCATGAGAAAGAGGGAGCTGCAAGTTCTACTCGGAAGGAGGCAGGGCAAACTGCCCCCCCCCCCCCCCCCCCCAGGCTGATCTCCCTGAGCCAGAAATAGGTGTCGTAGATTTCTCAAAAGCCGAGAACAGACTTTTTTATGCAGATTTGAACAACTGCAAATTAGACAGCGTAAGAGGGAAGAAAGGTGTGACTTGGGAGAATGATCCCTCGTGGGCTCAGAAAGGAAAGCCATTATAGGGCTGACATCTGCTTAGCAGGGACTGCTATTAGAGAACTTATCTATAGTATTGTAAATCTTGTAGACAACATTAAAGGACTTTAGTTTTATTACTCTATGGAGAGTGGAATGTTTCTATAACGGGTCCTCGACAGTCCCCCCACGACAGCTGTAGAGTGGGAGATGATATGTGTCCTGTGGACTTGCTTTCCCCTCAAAAGGTAATGCGAGTTTTCTAGTGCAGAGTCCTTCCGCACAAAAATCCACTCATGATTATTCCAAGTTTTCTTCCTTTTAGCAAGAGAATTTAGAACAGCAAGAGAGATCCGTCAATTAGTTGTTGCTACTGTGAAACGAATAGGAGTTGGACAATCTTGGTTTCTATGGAAAATCATCTGATTACCAGCAGTTCCCAGTCTACATTCCATCTGTCCCTGCTCTATTAGAGTCAAGAGTTACAAAAACTATTGGGAAAGCAGCTTATGTTACCAGATGAAAACAATCCCATTTAGTGCTGTTGATCCACACAGAAAGTTTTCAGATCCTGCTGGGTCCACACAATCACTGGCTCATCCAGCCCAGCACAAGCCACCAGCTATGTGTTGTAGCAAGTTTTGGAGGTAGAAGGGGAGCTACCTAAAGGGAGGTTTACTGGGGCCCAAAGGGACCACTATTCTTGGCTGTCAGGCCCTGTTTGTTGAGTTGTGTAGGCCTAGCAAATTACATCCTGCCACTCCTACCACAATTGTTCAGTAGGCTTGTTTCTAAAGTATGCCACATTCCCCAGCTATTAAAACAGAGCTTTGGCTGAATGGCAATTGCTTATTGCAGTACAAACTGGCTTTAAAAACATTTCACAAGTTCCTTTCCTGTGGTGCTTCTTCATGCATGGCATTCTAGCTGGCTGATTTCCTTCTCTGTGGAACTTTGAGGGATAATTGTTGAGTGCTATTTAGGAAGGATGTCTGTGGAGGGGGAGTGTCTTCAAACCACATGTGACAATTCACCACTTTCCATACATAGTCCATTTTCTCTCTTTCTCTTAAGGCAAAACTAACTGGTTTAAAAATGCTGTTGCTAAGTTGTTTCTTGGCAGATAAGGCTAGTGATATGCAGCACTTTAAGGAAACTTATTAAAGAAAAGGTCTTAAAATGCACTGCTTTGGGATTTATTTTGCAATTTAATTCTGCATGTATCCAAGAGCAGGAACTGCAGCAGCTGCCGAAGACTTTCCCTCCCTCACTGAAATCTGAAATGATGCCTGTGCTTTCAGTCTGAACATGATTTTAGAAACCTTTCTGAAGGCATCTTGGGAATGGACAGAAACAGCAAAGGATGTGGGAGTGAGTGGTAGAAAGAAGGAAGGCAGGAAAGAAAGTAAAAGATCTCCAGAAAAGCACCTCTTCAAACTGCAGGTAGAGGAGGGAACCTTTAAGCACACATGCACGTGCAGGCCTGCGTACAACTTGGACACTGGGAAGAAGGCTGGGATAAACCCTCTCTCCCTACTATGGCAGTTTTGTATGTGCAAAGAATTTTATCTGTAAGACATCAGTGCTCACAGGATAGGTGGATGTGGTGCCATCCCATTTCTTTTAGGTGAACTTGAGCACACCACTTTGGCTATGGTGGAAGCAGCCGCATATAATGCAGCTTTTTTTCCTAAGCTGGGCAAAAAAAAAAAAAAACCCTGGTCCTCTACCCGGCTTGCCCTTTGAAAATCCCATTCCAAATTGTTTGATGCAGGGTTTCTACAGTGCAAAGTCACATGAGCAATGTAATATTAATGCCATAATGAAAACGCTCATTTCAAACTGCATCAATTCCTTTTATTCTACCCTTATAATTCAGTTGTGGATGTGGAGCCTCCCTGTTTTAATGAGCTGCCAAAGGTATTTTCAGTGTTTTTGTCCTTCCAAAGCCAGGGATCCACCATGCCTTTCACTTTCTGCTGTACCAAGGGGAAATCTGTCATCACCCAGTGGCACATGGAAGGGGCTGTTCTGCTGACTTGCACTGCACACTTCCAGTAGGCACAACCCATTAATCCCTATCCATCCAAATACACCCCCTTTCCCTCAAAGCAGCCTCTCAACCATTCTCCCCTGCCCCACCCCATCCTCATTCAGGGCATTTCCCCACAAGGCAGTCCAATACTAATTCAGCATGTGCACACACACACACTGCTGTATGTTGTACGTGGCTACAGCTCCATTTGGAGTATTCAGTCAGTAACAAAACTTGATTTTCCTTAGTGCAAGAAAGGTCCTGGGTCCCCATAGAAGAAGGCTTAAGCTAGCGTGCTTAGTAGGCAAACAGTTTTTCTTCAGGAGCACAGAATTATTATTATTATTATTATTATTATTATTATTATTACAATAAAGCCATCTGAAGTTTTTTTTTAAAGTTCATGGCTTCAGGTCTTTATTATGAGTAGCATTTTATTAGTTCATTTAAGAGAACTGATAATCAGCTGACCAGCCTCATGTTGTTTCTTGCCTGAGTTGAAATGGAGGAATCTGGAAGACAGCTCTCCTTTCAGATGTGAGGAGTGCCTTGCAATAAGCGACATTAAGGTATCGCATGGTATTGATTTCTGTCCTCATTATATTCAACTCCCGCAGCAGAACCTCAAGCTCAGGGGCCAGATCTGGTGCTCCTGGGGTCTCAACCAAACCCTTTCACCCAACCGCCAAAACTTTGGTGGTTTCCTAACTTGTGCATATTCTCCCCCCCTGCCCCCGGCCGCCCCTCAATTCTAAAAGATTGGGGAAGGCTTAGTTACTAATAAAAAGAGCTTAATGAGAAACTGAGCCAGCATTTTGGCCCCTCCTCTTTTGACTTTGGCCCCACCCACCACTGGAATAGCCCCCTTGATAAATCTGTGAAATGGAACTTGGATTTGGGGCTGAAAAGGCCCAGCTCTAATGTTCAGGCTCACACTAACCTCATTTGATGCACATTACTTCCAGATTCCCACTATTTATACTATTTATTTATTGCATTTTATGTCACCCCATTTGTATGTCACCCCATTACATAGCCAGAGGGCACTCTGGGTGGCTTACAGAAAAACAGGCAACAATATATCATAAAACCATAGCCTATTTATTTACTTAAACATTTGTATGCCGCCCAAGTGTGCCACAGCACCTCTGGGTGGCTCACAATTACAAGATAAAGACACAATAAAACATAACAAAAACCAATGACACATTAAAAATAAAATAACAATAGAAGCAAAAAATACAAAACAAAGGTCTTATGGTATTAGTTATTAAAATATTTTTAAAAGGGAAGGTCTTTGTCTGGTGTCCAAAAGAAAGTAATGAAGGTGCCAGGCGAATCTCCCTGGGGAAAGCATTCCAAATATGGGGAACAGCTGCAGAAAAGGCCCTCCTCCTAGTGGGCTAGATATTTTTTATTTTATTTATTTAAAACTTTTATATCTTGTCACCACATGCCTCGACATCTTGGGACTGTTTACAACCACAGAATTAAAAACAATAAAACAATAACAAATTCAATAAGATCATATAAAACAAAAAACAAAAAAGCAACTGTTAACGATATTTTAATTTTTAAAATAGCCATTAAATAAAAAGGTTAACACTATAACATTTAAAACCTCTTTGCAATCAGTAGTGTTGTGAATCCATAGTGGCTCTGCATGCAGAATCAGCAGTTAATATCACACCTTCACCCATACTATCACCACAAAACCCACTCGGCTGGGCATTAGCTTTATTCTATTTGTGCTTCCGGACTATCCACCCCCACTGCCTCCCAAATCTTGTCACCTTGCCAATTTCCCACCAATCACATTGTCGCTACCAGTGATGCAGACTGTTCATATAGTGAGGAAAGAGCAACCTTAGGAAGACCTCAGGGAGAAGTGGAAGCCTCCTGCATGAGGATTGCAGGGGATGAGATGATTCTCAACAATCCTCATATAGGTTGCTCTTTTGCCACCGCTGCTTAACAGAAAGAGCTGTTTCTATGGGGACTGGTAGAGTAGCTGTGTGACCCTCAAGTCAGCATCACATGCACTCCTAGGCAGAAGAGCTGTGCACTCTATAAGGGCCAACCAAGATGCAATAAAAGATTATGCAAACTTTTGCGTTCTTCAGAACTCTTTATTAGACTGAGCAATTAAAAAAACAGGGCATGGGGAAGAGCAGAAAAATGTCTCATTTTTTAAAAAATACACAAACTGCGCCCCTCCATCACACACCACATTTTAAGATGACCTAAAAGCAACACCATGCCAATCATTTTGAAACTGCCCTGCTTTCCTCTCTTTTCCCCCCAAACTTCTGCACTTTGGTCCACAGCCTGTTGCAATATTAACAGAAGACAACCTTTGCACTGATACCAGAGGCGATTTCATTCTGTCTCACTTTTGTTGCTGCTGCTGCTGCTGCTGCTCCGCTGCCCTAAGCAAAGAGAAAGAGGGCTACATTCCAGTACTATTGACAATCCGTGTCAATGTCCTGTGGTACCTTCGCCAGAGACTGAATTAGGTAAACAGCCTTGTTTGCTTAAAATGTCACCAACCACTCTACATTCTGGAAGAGTTCAGTAGAACTGCAAAGGCTTTTCTAGTTTTGAAGTGCTCATGCTAGGAAAATATTATTTATTTTAGACGTGTTCCTAAGCAGCTGCTCATTTCCCAAATGGCTCTGGGGGCAGGGACAGTAACATTTGGAAGACGAATAATGAAGGGTGCAATCCTATGCATGTTCAGACAAGTGAAAAAGTCCTACCATCACAGCTGGCTGAGACATGCTGGGAGCCGCAGACCTTATTTTCTGCCTAATCATGCTAACGATTGGAGAAAGCTCTCCATAAGACCACTAAATTCAGAGTAAAGAAATAAACTAACTGTACCGCCACTTGTAATGGTTAAAGCACCACCAAATACTTTGAAATGAACGGCTAAAACCTGTTTTTCGAAAAACATTGGTGTTAATGCCAAGTGAGCGGAGATGCCAGCAAGCTACTTTGAGTGTTGATGTTTTCAAGGAGGAGAGGAAAACTTTGGACCGCCCTGCCCTTTTGTTAGTCTGTGAAATGCAGCCTCCATGTTCAGAAACAACCTCTCTCTGAAGACTGCGCATTAAGAATAAGCTGGAGTAACCTGAAAACATGTAAGAATGGTCAGTGCTAATTACCAGTTAGGTTGCCATTTGGGAACTTAAGTTCTGATGCAGAGAGGCACTGTACTGTTAGGGTGAGAATCTGCAAAGACTGCATCCTTCCTCAAAGACTACATCCTTTGCAGATGTAGAACCTGGGACTCAAGAAATGACCCACAATTTGGATATTCTTTTTGAACAAGCTTTTTCTTGGGATCAAACCACTTATTTAATGACCATGGTCCTAGGTTGCTTCCAGACAAGAATGCTGTACCCCAGTTGATTCCTATTATTTTTATATACTGAAATGATTTCAGGCTTCAGTGGACCTTTAACTTTGAATTACTCCTTTCGGGTATGCTGATTTGGGCCTCTGCTTCCCACCCACTGCTTTACAAAACCTATCTGGTTTCAGCCTGTTACTTCACTCCTGTCCTTCTTGAGCAATCTCTGTGTTTCTTGGAAATCTTTCCCAGTAAAACCTGGCTTACTTCTGAGAAAAATGACACAGCACATCTTATCTCCAATCCTTGACCTTGACATTTTTGAAGAACACTGCACACTTAGGTGATGTTTTCATTGAAATTCATCATGACCACATGAAGGTCCCTAGTTAATCACCACCAGTTCAGAGCCCAAGAGTATATATGAGAAACTGATAAAAATGAGAAGAAAATGCAAAAGACCCTCTTCAAAATGAACCATTTTGAACACTGTAATTTTAAACTGAACTGCCTCTGCATTCCAGTACAGTCAAACTGCGTGGGTAACATGAAGAGGAAGGGACTCTTATTGGGCAGCAAGTAGGCCTTGCTAGGTTTGTGCACACTTCAAGTCCCAGCAATTCATCAGTCAACGTACTATTATTCTAGAAAAAGTGGTGGCCATCCCAAAAACTCAAGGAAAGCACAGCAATCATCTGATGGGCAATTGTGGAGCACTAGCTTACTGCATAATGCAAATGTAAGCTGTCATCTTGGCCAGAACCTGAAAATCCAGAGGACAAGGAATTGCTAATCAGGCATTAATGATTAGCAAATTGTGTGTCTAGTTGCCTGCAAGCAATACACAGAACTCAACCTGCTTCCTACAAGCCTGAAAAGTTTCTAGGTGTATGTGAATACCCTGGAAAGAGTTAAAAGCTATGCACAGAAATGCATTAGCAAACACTGGGAAAGCAAGCCAGGCAAGGGGTGGGAGGTTGTTAGCACAGAGGTTTGTTAGTGCTGGGGCAGACAGTATGCTCTGTGGGAAAACAGATCGTTACTTAGGAACGAATGTCCCGATCTATAGTGGAAGAGAGATTTGCTGAGCCTGCAAGGAAAAGCGCACCTCTTGGCACTTTGGTCCACTTTTAAGTGGTCATTCTGCCTATGCGATGAGGGCCAGATGACCTGCTACCTGCAGCTTTGTCTGTCTTTTCTCTGCTTTTCTGTTTTTTTAAGGGAAAGCAGCTTCCATGGTGGCCAGTTTTCAGTGAAGGACGGTGGTACAGGGGCTGCGGTACCATTTCGCTTCTGGCCATCCACATGCAGGAGGAGATGTACTGTCTCCTGAGGGCAGAACTTGGTTTGTGTAAGACATTGGCAATATCACAGGAAGCCCCTTGCATTCTGACCAGTCCTTTTGCTTGCTTCTGTACTGTGCTGTTGCTTCCATAGTCCTCAGCAGGAGTATCAAATTTTGTTCAATCTGAAGGCTACATTCCATTTTTTCTTGGGGGCTAGATTCTAGTAGTTGGTGGAGCTGAAGACGTAAGATGCAGGGGCCAAAATACTAGCATTTTTAAAGTTCTTACTGCTAGTAACTAAGCCTTAGGAGGGGCATTTCTACATTTTAAGACTAAGCAGAAAATGCACAAAAGCTGAGAAACCACTGAACAATCTATGTTTGGGGAAAGTACTTGACCAAGGGAAGAGGTAGTAGCCACTGGAGAACCCTGGGAGGCTAGTGTGAGATCCCACATGGACCAGATTGGATTGCTGGCCTTTGCACTCCTGGCCTAGAGACAAATCTGTCTCTACAGAAGTTCTGCTATTTGAGTGCATGATCCTGACTCTTACTTTAGGCTCAACTGGTAGCATTTTACCTCACAAATTTGATTTGGCAGTGGTTTATCCTATCACAGCTTTACTTTCCATCTTCAAAAGAGCAATTGATGCTGCATGTGTCATACAGACAGGAACCAGAAGCACATGATGTAGCTGCGGAGGCCTCTAGAAAAGAGGACTAAAAGAAATACCCACATGGGGGTCAATGCCTCTAATTCCAGTTTTTCAAGCCATGGTGCACAGGCTCAGTCAACTGGAATTAGCAAAAGTCTCCTTTGCACTGTCTCAACAGCAAGTTCTTTCTGTCCTCCATGTTTATAAGATGCTGAAACCAGCAGCCACAACTACCACTCCAACCATGTGTCTACAAAGCAGGAATGGCTGAAAAATCTGCACGCCAGTCTCTAGCAAATCAAGGCTGCAACATAAGAAAATACTAGTGGTCATTTTATCTTGTATTTTTCTGATTATATTTCTCTACTGTGCAAAGAATAAGTTAGGCTGAGTGCCATGAAAGAATGAAATCACCTTATAATGGTTCTCTTAAGGTTTTTTAAAGTCTTTAATGTCCACATACTCTATTGAGGATGGATGGAAGATAGACCATGAACTATTAGCTACTGCCCAAACATTTCACCCATTTCTGGAGAACATAAATGCTTCCTGGTTGGTGGCATTCTTTCAAAAAATGGTAGATTAGATGGACTTTGGTCCAATCCCATGAGGCACTACTTAAGTTAAGCAACTATGCACACTGATAATTGCAAATTGGTTAAGTCTTGAGAAATAACCTTTCCTACGCACGGTTGCTTTACAAATCTGGAATGTGCTGGTGGATCATGGGGATGCTAAAAATAATGTGGAAGCAGCAAGTTGGTGCTCAAGACTGAAAGTCATCCTGCCTAGGTGTATATGGTGTTTGACTAACACAGCATTTTATATTTTGGCTAGGTGAAGATTTTTTAAACCCATATTAGTTTTCTAAAATTGGTTCCATGAAACACACACGTGTGTGAACGCATGCACACACACACACACACACACACACACACACACTACTATTGTAAACTAATTACTGTTTTTAAATTCTATTTTTAATCTTTTTCGTGGTAGTGAGAATACAACAAGAAAACTTCAGGTGGGTGAAAAACCAGGCTGAATTTTTCAAGCTAATGAACTGTGACTTTGCTTTCAGCCATCATGACCCACCAGTTTCCAGCACTCTCTCCAGAGCAGAAGAAAGCCCTCTCTGAAATTGCTCAGAGGATCGTGGCTCCAGGCAAAGGAATTCTGGCTGCAGATGAGTCTGTGGGTGAGTATAATCATTCACATGTTACTGTCCCTTCTCAATGTCTCTTCCACCTGCCCACCCCTCGTCTTCTCTTTGAGATGATGGGCGGAAGGTTAAAGAAAAACCTTTTATTTCAAAATGTAATCATGGAGCTCTGCATTCACAGTAGGAATGAGGCCCATGTTCAGAATTGCTATCAACAGCCAAAGGAGGAAATGCAGAGGTGAGGCTCAAATCACATAGCACAGCCCTTCCTGGACTGTACAGCTTTGGACTGCGGGCAAGGGAGGACAAATTCAAATGCTCTGCATCAAAGACGATCTACACATGAAAGACAATCATACTGGGAGAAGGTCATTCAGTTTTCTGTAGACTGGGAGGATCCCCCCCTCCTTAACATGAAGAGGCATTTAAGCATGAATTCCTAAAATTGCAGTCTGAAGTGGTACAGCCCAGGAAGGAATGTACCACACGGTAATTCTGAATATGTACCTCAGTTGCTAGAATGGAAGAAATAATAAATTTGATGCTGGAATATATGCCCTGAACTCATTAAATCTAAGTGTATGTGTGGTGGGGGCAGGAGGGAGGTCAGGAAAAGTTGTTCCAAATTGGGTGGCAAAAGTCTCTGACTTTTGATGGCTTTTCATAGGTACTATGGGTAACAGGCTGCAGCGCATCAAGGTGGAGAACACTGAAGAAAATCGCCGTGCCTTCCGTGATATCCTCTTCTCATCTGATACCTCCATCAATCAGAATATTGGAGGAGTTATTTTCTTCCATGAAACACTCTATCAGAAGGACAACACTGGAAAGCTCTTTCCAGCAGTCATCAAGGACAAGGGCATAGTGGTTGGAATCAAGGTGAACTGTCTTCAAGATCTTCTTCCAGAATTAGCAGTAGGAAAGCACAAATGTCCTGCTTATGGGTGCTTCCACATGAGGCTATTATGGTGCAATCTCTCTGTCTCATCTATAGCATTTTACAGCAGGGTCCCGAAGACAAAATCTTTCATCTGTAACCTTCCTGTGCTTCCCCATTTCGTCCATCTTTTTATCACAAAAAACATGGTTGAGAAAAAGACAGATGAACTGTACAATGTCTTTTGAAGGGTGGCACAAAAGGACCATCCTCTGTTTCAACTTCCCACTGCAAATGCAATGTAGCCACATTAAAACTTTGGAATAGAAAGACTTTGTGCGGTCGCCTTATGAACCATTTGGTTCAGTTGCAGGATGTAGATGTGTCGCAAATTTGATCACACAAATTAGACATGTACCAGCGCAGTCCATTTCACCCAATCCAGTTTATATGCAGTGACTGTGTACTTCCCAATATGGTCCTTTCCGTAGCCTTTAGCTAACACTTGTATTCATATCCACAGTTGGATAAAGGCACGGCCCCATTGGCAGGAACAAATGGAGAAACCACCACCCAAGGTAAGCTATTGGTGGGCACTGCATGACGTTCATTGGTGTTTTAACTACTGAAAAGAAAGGGTCAATCTTAGAATGATGCCAGTCAGCATAGCTGTTGTGGAAGTTTTCTAGGCTGTGAGTTTGAAGTTCATGAAAGCACGAGAGAAAAGACTGGAGGAAATGGGATGTTGGAGGCAAGTGACTTTTAGTCCTAAAATCTGAAGGGCTGAGGAAAATAAAGTTCATGGAAGCACAATCAAGGAGAAAAGCAAAGAACCTAGAGTAGCAAGGAAAGTGACTGTAGACCAATATGGGTGTAGAGTGGAAACATTTCTATAAGGCAGCAAAATGTCTAAAGATCCTTCAGAACTATTTTAAATTTCATCTCACATTGGATTGCAATGTGTCTTGAATGTCTTAAGCTACCTTTTCCTCTATCCTTGCCTTAAAGGACTGGATGGACTTGGTGAACGCTGTGCCCAGTATAAGAAAGATGGGGCTGATTTCGGCAAGTGGCGTGCCGTGCTGAAAATCACAGATACAACTCCTTCTCCTCTTGCCATCCAAGAGAATGCCAACACGTTGGCACGGTATGCCAGTATCTGCCAACAGGTATAAACTGGTTCCAGGGTGTTTCTGAGAGCTTGACTGGGGTGTGATGAGAGGGCAGGGTCTGCTAGCAAACACTATGCTTCTTTTCTCCCTTTTCATTTTCAGCATGGATTAGTCCCCATTGTGGAACCTGAAATCCTCCCAGATGGAGACCATGACCTCCAGCGGTGCCAGTATGTGACCGAGAAAGTAAGGTGTCATGTTCTTCCATCACAATGCAGATAAGCTCATTGTCAAAAATGTATTCTAAATGTCGAGGAGCTTTTCCAAAACTCTGTCCCAAGTTGTCCAAAAGGAAGAAAGTGAAAGCACATGAAGTTTAAGTTCATGATGGCTGCATCATTTATTTTGAAAGTGCATTGGCCTGCACCTCCACTTCTCAAAGCAATTTCAATCATTGTCCTTCCTTGCAGTGTAAATAGCATGTAGAACTGCTGGCTTTCGGGCTGGGAACGCATTCTGCTGGCTGAGTTTTAGGAAGGGCTTTTTTAAATGGACAAAGCACCCGGCATTTTCAGTGCAAGACTTATTAATGTCCAAGAAGTGAATCCAAGGAAAGCAATGGCCTAGTCACTTTTCAGGAACCTGTAGCATAAAGCAGTCATAATGAAGAGGCTCTGGAGGAAGCATTTCTTGCAGTAAAAGTGGTAAATGTGTATTTTTCTCTGTATCTCTGAAGTGTACAGGTTGCCTTTCTCCCCAAAGGCAGGCAACAGATAACACTGTAATTAGTAATTAAAATACAACAGTGGCAACCCCCGCCCCAAACTTCAGATTTGTCAAAGACACTAGGCCAATAGCAGTCAAATTGGCTCAAAGGCCTGGTAGAAGAAGAGCATAAGAAAGGCCCTGCCGGGTCAGACCAGAGGCATATCCAGCCCAGTATCTTGTTGGCAGACGGCTGAACCAGATGCCTCTGGGAAGCCCACAGAAAGACATGAGTGCCTTAGTGTTCTCCTGCTCATATTCCCAGCAACTGACCCAGAGCAGCCTGCAATTTCTGATGCTGGAAGCAATGCATCCATCATGATGTGGAGCCTTTCATTGCCTTCTCCTCCACAATAACAGCCTTGGCAGGCTGTTAAAGGCCTCCGCTGTGGGAGCCAGAGGAGTCTCTGCGAGAGAGCATTTTCTTCTTGCCTCCACTGTGAATTGTGCGTCTGTAATTGATGTTAGGGCCTAGGCCATATCACATAGCCCTGGACTCATGAAAGATGTGAAGACTCTAAATAAGGAAGGCAGTCCAGGTAAGACGCACCTCTGTGTGCACTCACCTGGAGCAATTCCCACTGAATAAAGCAGGATTTACTTTTGAATGACTACACCTAGGATTGCACTGTATCTGCTTTACTCCGTCTAGTTAATTCATTATTATTATTTAAAAAGTCAAGGTTGCCTTTCAGCTCAGCAGTCTTCCCAAGGCTGGTGGTGATGATAAAGCTCATGCTACTAGAAGCTGTCTGAATGTTTTCCAGGTGTTGGCTGCTGTTTACAAGGCCCTGAATGATCACCATGTCTACCTGGAGGGAACACTGTTGAAGCCCAACATGGTGACTGCCGGGCATGCTTGCACCAAGAAGTACACTGCTGAGGAGGTGGCCATGGCAACCGTTACAGCCCTCCGTCGCACGGTCCCTGCCTCTGTTCCTGGTAATTCTTCAGCCATTGCTGTCTAGCAGCCTTCCTCCAGCTGGTGCCCTGCCAGTGTTTTGGACTTAAATTCCTGTCTGCTCCATTCAGCAGAGCCAATAATCAGGAATGCTGGGAAATGTAGTCTACAGTGTGTGATGGGCACCATGCTTATGCAGCACCTTGAACCTCTTTTGCATTTACAGTTCTGCATCCACATTTCATGATTCTATTTTATTTAGTTTAAAGAAATTTAATGAAGGATGTATCTTGGCAGTCTGATCACGCTAGACAAGAGGTATAAGTGCATGGCCACTATATTTGAAATGTCTCATGCCACAGTGCTTGCGGCTAGTCAGTAATTGGTGAGAGCCACCCCTGAAAAAAATAATGCTCCAGATTACAATGGACTGTGCAGAACCATCAGCTGGTACAACCTGATGTGTTCAGCAACCACAGCATATTAAACCAATTTTGAACCATTTTGACTGGGTGCCAGTGCATTTCTAAACTTGCTTTATGTGTAGATGATCAGCTTTATAGCCCTAAAGAGCTTGGGAGCAGGCTGTCTGAAGGACTGCCTGAACCTAAATTAACCCTTCCAGGACCCTAAGATCAGCTGCAATGTTCTGACTCAAGGGGCCACCACTAAGTTCAGTCAGGTTGCTGGACTGAAGAGCCATGGCCTTTTCTGTGTTGGCCCCAACTTTATGAAATGTCTTTTGGTATACCTGTCTCCCTTTATAATTACTTTTAAATGGGCCTTAAAGACCTGGATGTTTCAGACCATTTTTATTTGTTATGACTGATTCTGATCTATATTTTATAAGCTGTAATTTTAAAACTTGCTAATATTTTTACTTCTGACCTGTTTTGAAATGGAATGTTTATGTTGCTGTTTTAGTTGGTTGGAGGTTTTTTAATTTAACACTGCCAAATATGTAAACTGAGTTGAGATGGTTCATGTCTTGAAAATAATACGGCAAATAATCACTTGTTCCTACCATCAGCATATACAAGGCACAACTGCCAGCACTGTATATACCTAGCTGGACTAAGTCACACATTATGTCATACAGCATCATGCGTAATCCAGCTCTATCTCCTCCCTTCTCACTTTACTTTGACATGTTGGTCTTTAACCTTCTGCCTCTGGTGTTCTGATTCAAATTGCAGGAATCTGCTTCCTTTCTGGGGGCCAAAGTGAAGAGGAGGCTTCCATCAACCTCAATGCCATCAACCTATGCCCTCTGCCTAAACCTTGGAAGCTGACTTTCTCATATGGACGGGCCCTGCAAGCTTCAGCATTAGCTGCATGGTGTGGCAAACCTGAGAACAAGAAGGCTGCCCAAGAGGCCTTTTGCAAAAGGGCAAAGGTAAGTCCATGTCTCGATAGGAGACCTAGAAATGAACAAGAAAATTTCCTTCTCATCTGAATTGGCAAGGTGAACGATACAGAAGTTAAATACTCTGCTGTGTAGCAAAGTATGCTGAGACCATACCCGAGAACACGCACACTGTTTTGGTAATTTGCACCTTCTCAATTCTTTCTTTTCTAACTAGCTGTTTTATCTTTTCTGTTTCAGATTAACGGTTTAGCTAGCAAAGGCCATTATACCGCTTCTGGGAAGAGCAGCACAGCAGCCACTGAGTCGCTTTTTACTGCCAGTTACACATACTAGCTCATAAAACAGTGCAACTACCTTGCCCATTTTGCAGCTGGCAGGAGACCCAACAGGAAAATATGGCACATCCAACTAGAAAGCTGCAAATGGATTGAGATAATATGCACCACTGCACACTTGCACAATGGTAAAAAAACTTCACTACATACACATTCCAAAAGAATTGGACATTTGGTATGGACATTGGACATCTATCAATCACTGCTTTTACACCTTTTATTTGGTTAGCTGGAATTTTTAAATGGCTTCCACAGTCAACTGAGGAGCTGGCTATCTTCAGCCCCTACTCGCTTCTCAATGTGTAAAACTCCCAGCTAATAACAAACAACAGGCAGCATGAAAGATCTTTTCTCAATCCATTATGTTTTCATTTGATCAACTGAGCACATTTTCTTCCACTGTGGAAAAATAAAATGTGTATGAAATGTTCCTCACGTGTGTATATGCCATTCATTTCCTGTTCCATGGTATAATTCATTTTGATCCTCAAGTATTTCTTTTATTAGAACCTTCTTTTAAGTGTCCCCTTGCACCTCAAGGAGCAGCCCTCAAGCTTTTAGTGAGCTGAGAGGCCACAGAGTCAGAAGTAGATGAAAGTGAGGCCAGCATGGCATGACTGACCCAGTGGAAGAGCCATTAGAGTCTCCCTTTTTTCATAGGTAAGGTTTGTTTCTAAAGCACTAAGCCAGAAACAGTGCAAGTTGCTCACAGTTATGTCTCCAACCAGCAGTGTTTTCAGGGCCAACTGCCATAATCAGCTTTTTTTTAAGGATGCAAAGATAAGAATGAATTATTTTCCTATTTCAGTCCCAGCCTTCCACAAGCCTAGGCCAACATGGGAAGGGCTTATCTATTTCAACATAACAACTCCCCACCGGGCTTAGAGAAATTGGCTGGTCTCCCACAGTCAGCGGGGAAAAGAAGCCACCATGGCTTGACTTCTGCCAAGTGAAATGAATTGGCTGGCGATATTTCTTGTGAAATGGAAAGAAAACCTAGTAATGATCTCTAAATTTCCATATATATGAATTACATATAAGGAATATATTCATATATATGAATTAGTATGCACATATTTTATAGAGCTAAAATCTCCATAAAATCTGCACATGTTAATTCACATGGGCCTGGGCCTCAAGTCTTTTAAGTGCTTAGATTCACCTAGATCAACTAATGAGCTTCATGGCTGAATGGGCCTTTGAAGACCCGTCTCCCTCTCTCTCATTAACTCTCAGCAGATTATGTAAGCTACACTCGCCCTGACACAAAATGACAAACAAGTTTAACACAGAACAGGTGCATCATGCCATTAACCTGTGCTGCTGTCAGCTAGGTTTGATTGTAGCACTGAAGACTCTGCCCAGTTCTGACAGGAGGGGTGAATATTGCCTGATCACAGCCTTTTTTCCTGTGCAGATCTGAAAGAACAAACTATGTTTAAAAAGCTTTAAGCTAACTGCTTGTGTTACAACTGCCACAGTTTTAGTATGAAACATTTTGTAGGCAGGCTACAGCATTCATAAGCATCATGCCAGTTAGGAAGGACACACATGGAGTTAAATCAAGGCTTTTAGAAGAGGTTTGTGTACATGCCCTTCAAAGTGAATTTGGTATTAAACCTGCATGACAAAATATCTTGAGACCTTAAGGGTAGCACTCTGGATTAGTGTCGCACTCTGTTACGGCAAATATCTGTAATGTGGTCTGTGTAAATTGCACAGCTAGGGCCTGGATACTCACAGATATGCGAAAAAAATATATAACCTGCCTTTGCTTGGGATGTTTTCACACTCAGACTAATGCACATGCTCTTGGTTCACGTGAGAAATCCTGTTAAGAACATAAGACCTGTGATATTTCACCTGATCTAGTCATGTCAAGGATCTTTGCAAAAGAGAAAAGTAAGATATACATGCAATCCTGTGCATTCATCATGACAGGGTCACAAAGTGTGCAAGCCTAAAAGCCATGGGCACCACTAATATGTGGTAGAATTTTTATCAGAGCCTGAGTTAGTGTGTACTTAGAAGAGGTCATTCCCAGGCAAGTGTAACAAGATGATGCTAAAAGCATTCTTATCTATGTATTTATTTATTAGATTTATATCCTGCCTTTTTCTTTTTTGAAGAACTCAAGGCAGCTTACATCATTACCCTCCTGCTGCTCTCAATCTTACTGCTACAACAAAACACTGTCAAGTAGGTTGGGCTGAGAGTCTGTGACTGGCCCAAAATTACCCAGTTGGCTTCATGACTAAACAGGAACTAGAACCCAGATTGCCTGAGTCCCAATCTCGTGCTCTTAACCACTACACCAACCTCTCTTTCAAGGTTTTGCACTAAAATACACGGGATAGCCTAATAAGAGCTGAGTGAGTCATTCAGTTTGGATGCTCCCTGAAGCATACAGAGATTTCTCTAGCTCACCACCAGTTTCAAATGCTATTTGTGGACACAGTTACACAGCACCTGTGAGTTTGCATCTCCTCTGCCATCAGCCTAACTGTGCTTGTAATTCTGATTTATGATGCAATCACTCATGTGGGGATAGTGCAAGGACAGCCAGAGTGAGTTATTGAATTGGCCTTAACCCTCCCCGCAAGCACCTAAATCCATTATTTTCTACATACTAAAAGGTTGCACACTGTCTCGATGGCTTTTTAGCAAATAATGCAGTTCATAAATCTTAATAAATAGATAACCTGAGAAGGAAAGAGAACAGTATGCTGCAAAACATAAGCGTAACTTTGTTTGGGACAATTCCATGATTTGTACAGGTTTTTTCCCTTAATTTAACAGCACATGCATTCCTAAAACTCCTCCAAGGGACTTTAATTTTGTGGTGCATGCTGGTGGACAATTTCAGATCTGCCTCTGCACGAGTTAATCTACATGTGCAACTGGTAATTTGAATTCAAAACATGTTAAAAGCTTGGTATCCTATCACATAACAAGCATAAAAAGCCACATTAAAAACATGTGAATAGTTTCATATGTAATAAACTGTAAAGAGAAAATTTAAATCAACACCCTGATCTAAACGCCTGGCCCTTAAGGGCTTACCTCACTCATTTTCTCCCCTAGTGTGCACGAAGTTCTGCTTGCAATCTCTAACAGAATTTTAAACACCCCTGTTGGGCCAAGATCATTTGTGGAAGCACTTTGAAACTTATCCAAGCATAATTTCATTATCTTGCCATCTGCCAGAAAAGAAAGGCATCAACTGGGGTTGGGCGGCGTCCCTAGTTTTCTACTGAATGTGTTTTTTAAAGAAAGCAACAGGGGGGAAAGCAAGCAAATGCATTCGACAGATGCTCAGAGGCAGCGTGTTCACAGGATGTTCACTTTTATACACGGAAGGTGGTTAAGAAACAGCAGGTTTAGGCACTGCCATGCTTTGATCTTTTTGGCTGGGGAGTTTCCTCGCTTCATGGGGAAATGCCTTTGCACCTCCGCAAAGGCACTGCCCCTGAGGTGCCAACTAGCTGTCCTACCAGGGCTTCCCGCAGGCAAGGAATAGCAAACCTAACCCAGAGGGCTCAAACAAGCAAGCCGTGCCGCAAGGGAAGGCAAGGCTACCACTAGCCAATCTGACTTGCTGGGAAAGTTTTTCCTGACTTAAATACATTAAATAACGAGGCCACCTATTGCCCCCAGAGATCATAAAACCTTCCCTAGGAAGCCATTTGAGTGGCAAGTCCGAGATGGAGACGGACTTCCTCTCGTATCTCAAATAGGTCAGCCTCTGTCGGCCAGTCATTGGTCGCTATCGAAATGAGCATGTCCAATTGGAAGTCAGGACTGTCAGTCAAGCAGCATTGGCTGCCCGACATCCGGCCCTCAGAGATAGAAAAAGATTAGCGTGGCACAGAATTTGAAGAATTGGTAAGAATGAAAAGTCTTTATTGACCCCGGTGGCACCGCTCTGTCATTCGGATACTCCGCAGTAAAAGGGTTATAGTGCACACTTGAAGTTAATGTGGAAATCCAATTTAATCTTAGTGTACACGCAGCATAAAGAACTGAGATTATCTCTTCTCCAGTTCTAGTTAGTATTCTGCGGGTTCAACTAACAGCGGGCGAGGAAGAGCGCGAGCCCAACTGGCCGCTTCGGTTGCTACAGCAACTGGGACCAGACGAGCCAATCACAACTCGCAACGGAGATACGCGCCTGTTCGTCTTTCCTCTGCCAACTACAAATCCCAGAAGCCTAAACAAAGGAGAATCTCTCTCTCTCTCTCTCTCTCTCTCTCTCTCTCTCTCTCTCTCTCTCTCTCTCTCTCTCTCTCTCTCTCTCCTTGCAGCTAATCTCTATAGAAAAGGGGAAAAAAAAACGTATCCCGTGATGCACCGTGTTTCGGGAAGTTGTTTGATTCTTCTCCGCCCTTTCCAGAGGCGAAGCTGGCTTGCCCTTCGAGGGGCGGTGCTTTCTGTTCGTGCTTCAAGATGGCGGCTTCCATGGGGCTCCTCAGAGTCTGGAGACATCGCATGGGCTTGGGGCTCCCTGTGCGCCGGACATTATGGGGATGGCCGAGGTAGGATCCCTGTTGTCGCAGTTGGAAGACTTAGGGCTGCGGGGTGGGTGGGGTGGGGTGCGTGCATGTCCCTATTTATTTATTTAAGATACATCCCACTTTTTTCTTTTTTAAAGAACTCAAAGCTGCTTACATCATGCTCCTCCTCCTGCTCCCGACCTTATCCCCATAACAACAACCCTTCGAGGAAGGTTGGGCCGAGAATCTGACTGGCCCAGAGTCACCCAGTGAGCTTCATGGCTGAGCGGGGAATTCAGTCCAAATCTCCAGAGTCCCATTCCCGCTCTCCTAACTGCTGTACCATACTGGCGTCCTCCCTCCGGTTTGTTCCCTGGAGAGAGTGACTGAAGGACCTGGAATTTTGTTCTCCAGGTTCCAGGATCTTGGATTTTTCAGATTTCACCTTCAGTGATGTGCTGGTTTCATTGCTTTCAGCTCAGCCTCAGTGCCTCTGGGTGGACAATCTTCGTGATTCCTGCTTTCAGACTTCCAGTTCTGTGAGCATAAAGTCTGGGGTGAGACTTTAGAAAGGGTAACTGTAGTTGGACTCTGATTCCCATCAGCCCTCATTGTTATCTTGCCTTGTTAAAGTTGATGGGAGTTGTAGTCCAAGAACATCTTGGGAGGGCCTCAGAGTGAGCCAGTGTGGTGTAGTGGTTAAGAGCATGGGACTAGGACTCAGGCGATCCGGGTTCTAGTCCCCACGCGGCCATGGAGCCAACTGGGTGACTTTGGGCCAGTCACAGACTCTCAGCCCAACCTACCTCACAGGGTTGTTGTTCTGGGGATAAGATGGAGGAGGAGAATGATGTAAGCTGCCTTGAGCCCTTTGTAGGAAAAAGGCAGGATATAAATCGGAAAATAAATAAGTTGCACCCCTAGTGTAAAGGGTGTTGTTGTTGTTGTTAGTCATGAAGTCATGTCCGACCCATCACGACCCCATGGACAGCATTCCTCGAGGCCTTCCTGTCCTCCACCATCCCCCAGAGTCCACTGAAGCTCACACCAACTGCTTCATTGACTCCATCTAGCCACCTCATTCTCTGTCGTCCTCTTTTTCTTTTGCCATCTGTTGTTCCCAGCATTAGACTTTTCTTGGGTTTATTAACGATGGGAAGCTTTGAGTTCTTTGCAGTTCTATTTAAGGACTTCTTGGTGGGAACACTGGTTTCATATTCAAGCCTAGCTATGCAGTTGCATGTTTTTAGGTTGAGAAAGGTCCGATGTTTTTAATAAGGCTAGAGTGAGGTTCCAGTAGAGATAGGAATATGTTGTTGATACCTAAGAGGATATAAAAATATATTGCTAATTCTAATTAATCTAATTTCTTAAAACAGGAAGAAGGAAGATGATCCAGAGACAGTACAACCAGCTGTTCCCATGAAAGAGGAACCAGTTCTGGTTTGCCCACCATTTCGAAGCAAAAAATACATTCCTCCAGAAGATCTCCAAAGTCGTCTGGAGTCTCATGTCAGAGAAATCTTTGGCTCCTCAGCCTCTTCAGACTGGCAAATGGTATCTCTGGGAGACAGCAGTTTAAAATATCGCCTGTTGGCTCAACTGGCAGCAGATCTGGGCCATGCAGTTCCTAATTCCCAGCTCCATCAAATGAAGAGTACCAAAGACGTCTTGGCTTTTTACAGTATACCTGTGAAAGACATCTCCAAGTTTGATGAGTTAAGCACGCAGGAGCTACCCTCAAACTTGAGAATCCGCTGGCAGTACTGAACCTTTATGGTGAACAAGGACGTTTGTGATTTATGGGGAATTGTTCTCTGGTAACCACATCAAAAGAAATTACTTGTGTTTCCTGGATTTCTAGAGTGTATTGTTAGTATCTCTTACAAATGTTCAGCTGCAGTAATGGCACTGTAGGATTTTGTGAGAAAGATAATAAAGGATTATTCAGTAATTGCAAGGACCTGTTGCTTCTTTCTTTGAGCAGTCATTGCTGAATGAAATTACAGCTACTGAAATGAAGCACAAGAAAATGTGTGGGCCTTGATTCCCTCCACCATGTTCCTTCTAGACTTGTTGACTGTGCTACTTTTGCTTGTGCTATTTAAAGTAAACTCTTTTTCATAAAGATCATTAAGAGAGGGTACTGTTAAGACAATATTTGGACTAGTCAGAACCACACAGTGTATTATTAAATCTATTAAACACTGGACTCTTGTCTCCAGTGACAGGATGGAGAAACCTCCATTTGAAACTGTTCTGTATGCAAAGTCCGTTTGTTAACATATATTTGTTTGCTAAACCTAGTGTGTCAGTAACTTGAAAAATACCAGAGAAAGGTAGGAAATATTTTCTCTCTTTCATTGCTAATATATATCAAGTAAGTATTGGATTTTTTGTAAGACAATAAAATCTATAACATCTTGGCATGTGTAGTTATTTCTGTGCAGTGTAACACATTTTGACTGTGTTGCAGTGCATGTTCTGTGTGTGCTCCCATGGTGGGGATAAACAGTGGGAAGGGACTTTTGTCTTTCTGTTTGCCTAAATCACATAGTTATCTGGCTGGCCACTGTGGGAGCAGGATACTGGAGTAGATAGGCTAGACCTGTTGAACTGGTGCTCTCTAGAATCTAGATGTTGGCCTTCCAGATAACATAAAACAGCATAGCCAAGTGGCTGGGATGGTGGAACTGGTAGCTCAGAACCCTCTGGAGAGTGACAGGTCTCTCCCCCTTGAGATTGTCCAGCATGGTTCTTCTTAGGTTCTAAGCTAGAGCTATGTGGCTTATTCAGAGCTGGCTTTAAAAAAATTATTTGTGAGCTGCCCATATGCTGACAGATCTCTAGTAATACGTATTCTGCAATATTCTATGTCCATTGTGTGATACCAGTCTGCTTAGGAAAAAAATGTAATTTTCAGTAGCATAGACAGGTACAAACAAATGCTATCCAGCATCACCTCTCTTCTTTTCAATCAGAAAATACAAATTGGGATATGGCTTTTCTGAAAATAATCTTTTTGTACGATTTTTAACTTTATAAGTCCAGTTTAATTTTTTAACTTGATAAAGGTGTCTAAAATGCTGATAACAGTAACGATAGCTAACAATAATAGGGATCAGTCTCACTGTCTCCTTGGCTATTGTCCATTTGTTTGTAAAAGTATTCTCCAGTAGCTGATTTGCAATGTGGTCTGTGGGTATGGCACACCAGTTGCTAATTGTGGCTGCTTGTTCATTGTAGTACCTTTAGGATGGCTGTGCATTATTACACTTTCTGTTCTGTACGACTCTGGGGATTGCTATAAATATCAAAATTATAGGTAAATATTTATGCTTAACAAGCTTGCATCTTTCCCTGGTTTCATGGACAGCTACTGTACAAAAAGATACTGCCCTCTGGTGACTGTCCTCAGAAATGCATAATAAACACTCTAGCATGTTAGGATTTTTCTTCCCATCGCTTGATCTTTTCAGTAGATTGTATATTGTGAACAAGTTTGGGACTGTAAATGGCCCAGTGATGTTTCATTTCAGGATTTCTTTAACAACAACAGGGCTGTGTCTTACATGATGTTTATAGTCCTACTCCCCAACTGACTTCATGAAGAATTTTTGGACCATGCCATGACATCAAGGTGTAACTATGATACATATTTACTAAAATAATTACTTTTCAATCATAAAACCAAAATACTGTAAAAAGCACAACCACATCGATTTTGAAATACATTGCATCAGGTAAGAAACCAATTCCTCTCGGTTTTCAGTATTGTTTTGGGCTATTTTTAAATTAATTCTTGTTGTAGAATGGTTGGTTGTTTCATTTTTGCAGTTTTCCATTGTGAATGATTCAGTGCTGAGTCCCTGCTTAGTAGCACTTCTTGGATGGTTGGAAACACGGCAGCTGTTTGAGGAAGGAAACAGTTTGCCTGCTGGAAAGTAGCATACACAGGAAGGGGGAGTTGGAGTACTTGCTTCTGCCTGCAAGAAGCTGCTTTGGGAGGTGCTCTTCAAGCATATACTGTTTCTTTGGGAAGCATGATGTTGCTTTAAAAATTAGCTTTGTGTGTTGTGTTACTGGTGATCTGATTGCATTAAAAGGGATGGGGTAAAGCTAGAGTAATGCAGTGGTTCCTGTTAATGCAGCATTCAGGAGCCTCAGGTTCTTGTCCCCACTTGACCATGAAGATCATTGGATGCTCTTAGACCAAGCACTGGCTTTCCTCCTAATTTACTATATGGGATCGTTGTGAGGATAAAATGGAGAACCATGTGAGACACCCTGGTTCCTTATGAAAGTTAAAAGAGGCAGATCATAAATATAATAAAGACGTCACCTTAAAAACAAAAGTTAATTCTCTCTGAGAGATGGAAGAGCAGGCAGCAGCTGGGCCTAGCTGACTGATAAATGTGTAAGAATAGAGAAAGCCTGCATAAGCAGTGGGCCCAGCGAAGCTCAAACTGACCTGCAAAAAAGTGAGTCACAGGAACTGGCTCACTAGACAAGCCTGCTAGGTTTCCTTAAAATACTAACTGGAACCTACCCAAAGGTCTGAAACGTTCTAAATGCTTTCTTCCCAGTGTGACGGATCTGATTGTTGTCAGTGGGGAAGTGCTGCCTCTGGTCTTGTCTAGTTTGTAGCTATAGGAGACAATAGGATGAAAACACTTTTGTTTTCATCTAACTGCTGCCTGGAGAATCATGAATAACTCTAGGCTGGGGACTATCCCATCTTTTGCTGGGGCAGTGAAGGTTATGCCTGGAAAATGCCACCAGCTCCATAGATACGTTCTGTTTTTGCTAACTATTCTACCTTGATTAGCGTTATTAGCAAGCAGTTCAGAGCAGGTACCAGGTCATGGTGAGCTTGACTTAAGAGATGTTACACCCAGCAAGCGTTCCAAAGTGGCTGCTATCAACTGAAATCCATTCTGAAGGGAAAATCAAAACAGTGTGTGGTACTGAAGCACAGGAGATTTTGAATTATTGGAATTGATTTCAGAGAGCCAAGTTTGCTCAATGTTTGAAAAAAGAATGAGAGATATTTGGAGCCGAATCAGAAGGGCAATTTCATATTAATAAATCTTTAGTTTCTATATTCTAGCATTCCCCGACCTAAAAAGCAGATTCATATGAGCAAACTAATGGATTTGTACATGTTACTATGAATGCCCAATACTGAGTGGGTAATCAAATTAATGTAGGAATGTTGACAATCCCAGAGGAATTCTCTGAACAACTCAAATATATTCTCCCCCTCCTCTATACACACTCATTAAAGATATTTGCTACCACATGCTATCACATATAGGTGATTGTTTAGTCAAAATGACAGATGAAGGGATGCTTTCAGACATTCAAAACATGTGTTGGGAATTGTCAACATCCACAAGTGAATGCCAGTTATCTCCAGATTGTACATATTTGTAGTAACGCATTTGTGAACAGTGCTGTTCTGAGTTTGCTACATTTCCTTAAAAAGAATAAAGTGTTCAGGATCAAATGGGCCCACAGAGAAATGTGTTGGGATCCTCACTGAACCACGAAGTTCGCTCAGTCCCCTTAGCCCATTCTCTTGCTCCAGACCTAACCTGCTTTGCAGTACTACAAACGACTCCATATGTATCATTTGGATCTGCTTGGAGGAAGGTAGAATACAAAGGTGATACAGTGTAGTACAATTTCCCAAAATTCTCAGTATGAAAGCATTCCCCCCTCCCATCTTTGCTGTAAACCAGCCAGAGATGTCTGTGATGGGATGGTATGCAAAAGTTTTAAGTGAGTGAGTGAGTAAGTAATCCTTTTGGATAAATGTGGTGTGTAATGCTAGGCATGCAGATCTCTGAAAAGGGGGGAAATCCACTACTTTCCTTCTGTTCACAAAAGACAAGGTTTAACTGGGCTACCTGGCAGGAACCAGGTAGTATTTGGAAAGCTTACTAAAATTCCAATCTTTAATTGCAGTTATACAGCTGCTAACATGCAATTCATTCCTGCACTGCTTTCTGAGTTCCTGGCACAGAAGTAACTCTCTAACCAGAGGGGTGGGATAAAAGCACATCATCCAGGGTAATTAGGAGCAGAAGTGATCCACAGGGGAGGGCCCAGACCTTGACTTGGGACTTTGGAAGATCATGACCATCTAGGGTTGACCAAACTGTGCTAGACCAGAATGTGCTAGATCAAAGGTCTGGGCTGACTTAGCAAATGATTTCTACTAATTTCATGTAAGGTCATGTATGTCAGGGAACTTCCAATGACAGAATCTTAACATCCTTCACCTCCTGAAAGACACTGAGAGAAGTAACAGGTTCATCTCCATAAAGTGAGCACAGCTCATTCAGATCTAAAGTGACTTCAGCACCATCGCCTTAAGAAAAACATCAGCATTTCACACTCAAGGCTCAAAGGCACAGTTTGAAGCTAGGATTGAGGCTTGCGTTCCCTGCCCTGATCAGCCGAACGGTGTGGTTGTGAGGCAAGACAACTCCCATATATTTCCTTCCCAGTTCCTAGAACAAATGACAAAGCCCTGATGCAAAGAGTTTGTGATAAGGTTTTTTTTTTTTTCATCTCTTTTGGAAAAAAATTATATACAAAAACCCAAGAACCAACATGGTAGACATTCCAGCAAAAGTACAGAGAGAGGCTCAATTCCTCAAAGGAAACACGCTATCGGTTATCACCATGCTAGAAAAATGAGATGCAGCAGGAAAGCCCTAGGACAAAAAGACGGTCCAGTAAACTGTTCCGTTAGTTTTCTTTTGATCTGTAACAATACTGTGCAAAGTGAAAACCAGTTTTAGATACAAATGCATTACATTATGAGCCACAAAAGGCAGATGTCGCCTGTTCTTGTGATGACGAGGCAGGCACTTCTATGGGAAAGGCATGCCCAAATCTAACAGAAGTGGAGAGTCAGGCCACGCACGATGTTTACCACAGAGAAAATAGGCAGCTGCTGCTTGGTCAGAGCTCTGAAGGCTGCCCTCCCAAACAAGGAACCCCACAGAGGCTTGATGTCATTGATGTCCAAGCAACGGGTGGGCCTTTTGCTTTTGTTACCCCCGTTGGTCTCTCTAACTGCTCCCCTTCCCTTGCAGTGAGGAGGGAAGGTGAGCTGCCAGAGAGGGCAAGGGAAGGCGTGAACATGGCTATCATTGCCTCCTCCTCATAAATATGTATTGAAGTCCTGTTGCCTTTCCTTACCAGAAAGGAGGGAGCCTTCAGCGTTCGGAACAGGCAGGTTACTTTTCACACGGCTACATGAGACGCACAGCCAGGATCTAATTCCCCACTCACGTCGACATGAGTGGTGTTTCTTCATATTAGCACCAGTGGAAATGAGTCACAGATGTATTAGCCTAAGGCTCCTTTGTGGATTGTTCTATGATGCTGTGATGTGGCAATGGAAAATTTACACTCCTCTTATTACAAAACATTAGGTGGAACCACAGTGATGGCTTCAAACCTTCAAGACCAGCTGGGCCCCTCCGCAATGCACCTTGAGCACAGCCTTTCAGGGGCACCTAAGGGTCAAATATATTTGGTCCAAGGGTTAAGTGCCACTTCCCCAGTTACCCATGTCTTAAAAATGCATGCATATGCCACAAAGGAAGGGTTACATACGGCTATTTCACAGCGAAGATGAGCGTTTTGGTACAACTCTAAGAGTTTGGATGAACATGTCTGTGAAGTTTCCAAAATGTTCATGCCTCTTAAGAGACAGTTCTTAAGACACAGGCTTTAAAAAGTACTGCATGGAGGCAGACTAAAGCTTATTGTAGACCACTTTTCTTTGGCCTGTGACTTCAATAACACTTTCATATTTTGTTAGGCTCCCAGTTTGGGGTCTATCTGAAACATCTGTACAAAAATGCCAATACTGTTGTGCTAGTTCTCTGAGCATCACTAGCACAAGGTGCCTCCTGAGCCCATTTACTAAGCTCTCGCTTCTGCAGTGTTCGTGTTAAACCAAAGTCTTAGCCTTAACCTTGGCCTGAAAGATGCATGCACCAACTCTTGCAGTCCACGGCAGTGATCTTAAACACACAATGCACAAGACATGTGCACGTGTACCCAGGTCGTCTCTGTAATGTCCATGGTGACACCCCAAGGATGTCTACTTTTCTAAAAAAAGTGGGATCACATGAACAAGGCTTGCTCAGAGCAGCTCCTGGGAAGTCTAAGGAAGAAAGCCACAAGGAAAGTTGTGTGGATTGTGCACGCAGACTGTGTACTTGGGGCCTGTTGAAACTCCTAGTCTGGAGAACACAACCTGGAGATTGCACACCGGGGGAAGAGCTCACCGGGGCAACTTCCTGAGCAAGCTTCATAGAGATGCTTGGGAGTCCTGAGAGACGGTTCAAGAACCTGCCTGACTCCCACTCACATCCATGAGGCTTTATGGGAGGAGTTGAAGTTCACAGCAGACTAGTCCTCAGTTGCGCCCTTACCCAGAAATGCGTGCTTATTATCAATCGCTTCAAGACTAGATTCACATCCTGCTGTGGCAACTTCATTGAACCGAACAAGGTTTACTGCAGAATTGCCCAGCAGCACCTGAATCTTGCCCCTTCACCTACTGGAGGCATATTCCCTGGTAACAAAAAGGTAAAAGTGAATTAGTATTATAATGATCATTTGATTTATTGTATATAAAACAAAACCAAAAAAAGGTCTGTGTACAAATATCACAAAACATCAACAATTCCCAAAGATGTAGTGCCTCAGAACACATTTTAAACAAGAAAAAGTCTCGCTTTTTTAAAAATGTTTTTTTTTCCTGTTTCTGGTTTTTTTGTTTTTTGTTTTCTTGTTTGTTTTCTTTTTGTTTTAAATTCTGGCATAAATATATTAAAGCTGACCAAAAAGGGGGGAAATTCCAGGGCAAGCTACATCACTTTGTCATACAAAAATGTACAAAACATTAGCTTCTAACTAGACATAACATAATACTGGTCATCACAGTCTGACAATTAGTATAACTGTGTGTTCTGGAGGGAGTATTGTACCGGAGGGTGATAAAAAATAGCTTCTCTTCCAATCTGTCAGATCAGGTTACTTCAGTCATAGAGGTGGAGTGATTCTGTGGAGAAAGGATACAAAGCAAAAAATACTTTTTAGTATGATGCAGTCAGCACGTGCTCAGAAGTGTCAAGATCCAGAATAGGACACAAAAACAAAAACCCCCATCAAAGGGCCACAATAAAAGTTCTGCTAATGATGCACAATTCACAACAGAGAGCCAGTGTGGTGCAGTGGTTAAGAATGCGAGACTAGGACTCATCTGATCTGGGTTCTAGTCCCCACTCAGCCATGGAGCCAACTGGGTGACTTTGGGCCAGTCACAGACTCTCAGCCCAACCTACCTCAAAGGGTTGTTGTTGTGAGGTTATGACTGACATGAGGAGGAGAATTATGTGAGCTGCCTTGAGTCCTTTGTAAGAAAAAGGTAGGATATAAATCAAATAAACAAGTGGGTTTTTTGCTCTCATGTAAGCATGTGCCCCAATTTAGACTGGGACTATTGTTCCACAAAGGGGGAAGCTGAAGGTTCCTGCCGCACCTGTTTCCCCTTGAAATTCCACCCACTTGTTCCTCATGGGGGGATTTAAGATTAAAACATTAAAATGTGTTCATTGGAGACATTTTACCCATTTTAAACCCCCCCCCACTCTTGCTGGTAGTGGATGTTCAGGGAAGGGGGTCAGTTTAACCTCTCATCTTGGAACTCCCCACTGAGGCCCAAATATAATATCTTTTCAATATCTGAGACTGTCCTCTATGACAAGGCATTATGCCAACTGTTTAACAGGACTTGTGATTTAATTTGTATAATCTATTGTAGCTTTTAAAAATGACTCCTAAATTTTGTATTTTAATATTTTGTATTGCATTGTGATAATTTTACTGTTATCTGTATTTTATATTTTGTTTTACGTGCCGTCATCAACTGCCCAGAGAGCTTTCGCTGGACTGATTTGATTTGCAGCAACTTCTTATGTTTCAGTGAAGGAATAGAACAATAATAAAAAAGCGGTAATAGTGTAAGTAGCAGTGATGTGCTGCAAATTCAAACAGTTATTGATGGAGACTGCAGATAGGGACAAAGGTGAGGCTCCCACTGTCTGGAAGGGCAGGACAAACCTCCGTGCTATTGGCTGAACAGAGTCTACTTCCTTTTCCAGAATTCCAGCAGACAGAGATGGATGTACAGCAAGGGTGGGGAAGCGGTCTCCTTTCAGCTTGTGAAGTACAATCCCATCACCTCTGTCCATTGGCAAGGCTGGCTGAGGCTGCTGAAGCTGGAGTCCAACAAAATCTTGGAGGGGGGGGAGGAATTTCTATCCTGCCCCCACATGGGTTCTCCATCCCAATTTAAAGGCAGCCTGCTCTTTCATTAGAGAGATAATGTGTGAACTATCCCAGATGCACTGATCAATGTAATTCAGGAGACTGCAAGGTTTGTTTACTGTTTTTTTCTGCAGTCTTCCCAAAGTTATGTGCTGGACTACAATTCCCATCAGTTCCAGTCAATGCTAGCTGAGGGATGATAGGAGTTGTAGGCCAACATAACCTGTATGATGCCAGATTGCAGAAGCCTTCTTTCATGAAAAGTTAGGCCAGTTCCACTGATCAAGTGTTGATAGGAAGGAGAAAAAATGGTATTTGAAGAGATGGGATACATAAAACATATGGCTTGGCACGAGTGCTCTAAGATGGCAGTACTACCATCAATGCTGTTCCATTTTAAAGTTTACATTTATTTAAAATATTGCTGGCAATATAAATACGGCATGAAATGGCCTGCTCAGTGTATGTGGAAGCAAAAGGAGGTTATTTGAAATAAAGACTCAAACATGTCAAGGAGTAAGCCAAACGAATCACCAGCTTCCCTTAATCATCTGTTCTGACATGTTATTCTATTCTGGCCAAACTAGGGGATTGGCTTGAATAATAAGGATTCCCCTCAGTGGATCAAAATTCGAAAGGGCAGGATAGATGGCACCTGTGCACTCAAAGTCTCCAGAGGACTTTCCACTCTTGGAAACGCCATCAGGGGCATTCCCCGTCGTTCCTCTGGCTTGGATTTAGAAAGAGTTCCATGTGTGCCTTTGAAGTTATGAACCACGCATATTCCCTGTGGGTTGAAGAAAGAGGAGACTGTTAAAGTGAGCCCTCAGATCCCTAATTTAGGAGAAGACAATGGAGCTTCTTCCTTGAAGCTGCACCCAGAAGAGACATTACAGACATGCACCTGGTGGGCATGTCGTGAGCAGAGTTGGCTGGTGCCAGAGGTCAGACTAGATGGCCTGGGAGACCCCTTCTGACTCGCTCTGGTTCTCTGTTACTATGTTTCTACAGACCCTAAAAGTTAGAGGTATACACTGGGGGAAAAAAAAGATCTCTATTTTTAAAAAAACAGGGATTGGCAATATGTGGCTTGCAGGCTGTGTGCACTCCCCGGTAACTTTTCTATGGTTCCCACTATCAAATTCTGCTGAAGTTTGGTGGCATGACAGTAAAAGAGGTTGACTTCCCCTTGCTTTAACTAAAATAAGCTGCATCTTGTTGCCCAAATTCAGCAAAGGACCAAAGAAACAGACTGAAGTCCTCTTTTTTCATTATTGTGTGGACGGTCACCCAGAGCTCCAAGTTCCCTGTAAAACCTTGGCTGCTGCGGAGGTTCAGCAGCCAGCCACTCCTGTAAAATCTTCACACAGCATCTAGCAAAGAAGTCTATTTAAATTATTTTTAGGGTGCCTTCAAGGATACCCCACCCCCAGGGTTTGATTTGCATGACTGCCAAGTAGAGAGAGCACCTAGGCACTTTTGCTACTTCCAAGCTCCTGTGGAAGGCAGCCTTCCAGGGCGCTGGATTAGGGAAACTACACGAAACAGTTTTAAACGTCGGAAAGGACAGCGTGAATCATTCACTTACCAGAAAGAGGGCCACTGCACTTCCTAAGATGAAGCCTGCAATGACATCTGAACAGTGGTTTCGATACTCAGAGACTCGGTTGAGCCCAGTGAGGAACGCGGCACAAAGAGTTCCCAGGCACAGGACTGGCTTGGCAAGCCGACTGCTCTTTGTCTTGATTGTGCTAGTGATGTACATCTGAAATACAGTCCAAAATGGTCAGCCGAGACTGAGCTATGAAGACTCAATGGACTAACCCTTCCCCTGTGTCCCCTCTCATATCAGCTCTACTCTGATTACTCTTCTTGTTTCTCCCATCCATATACAGAGCGTGAACTTCTCTTTCATACGGCTGTGAGAAATAGTCATAGGATGTGGTCTACAGCATCCTTTTAAGATGCAGCAGAAGATGGGTCCAGAGACCTCCCCCCATCCCCAATTCCTTTCCCCAGTAAATAATCTGGAAACTGGATGATGCTTCTTTTGCCAGACTGGGCAACTGTCACAGACAGAATTTATTAGATCCACTGAGCAGACAACTTTTAATGGGTTCACACAATGAAAATTGCCTTCCCACAAAGCATTCCAGGATTGCTAGTCATAAGGAGAATGTAATATATGAACTGACTAATCCATATTAGGGCAGTACCTTTGTTAGGCCAATTCCAAGGGGAAAAAACATGCAACATTTGGGGTTGACCTGATCTCTTCAATGTCTTACAAAAATCAGGCATCGGAGAAGAGGGAAAGATGCTGTGCTTTTTCTTCTGGGCATCCTTTGCTTTTTAAAATATGATTCCAAAGGTTTAAAAACAACAGATCACCATGATCACAGAAATTGCTCCTGCTTCCTGGGCAGTATCTGGGGTGATCAAGGGCATTGGGCAAGTGTGGGACCTGGCCCTTACTTGTAGCAGAAATGAATGACTGTCATTTTATTTTATTTATTTATTAAAACATTTTTATGCTGCCCCATTTGCCGAAGCCTCGGGGCGGCTTACAACAATTAGTTAAATAATTATAATTAAAAATATAAACATTAAAATAAAATACATACAATATAAAATAAGCCGCCCTGGCCAGATAAAATTCAATAATATTAACATTTAAAACGCTGCTTAAATAAAAAGGTCTTTGCCTGGCGCCAAAAAACAAATAACGACGGCGCCAGGCGGACCTCTCTGGGGAGCGTTTTCCATAACTTAGGCGCCACCGCTGAGAAAGCCCTCCTCCAAGTACCCACCGTCCTAATTTCTTTCACGGAGGGCTCCTGGAGAAGGGCCTTTCCCACCAATCTCATGAGCTAGGGATCCTCCCTTGGGACATTCAAAGCCACTACTTTCCAAAACGTTCTGTTCTTAATCGACCAAAACATCTTCCAGAAGCACAAGCAACCAGAAGGAATCTCTGAGCATGCCCAGAGCAATTTGTTGAACCCAATCTAGTATTTACTTCTAGGAACTTTGGAGTATGTTTAGGTCCTATTCTTTTGGGAAGGGGCTTTTGGAAATAAGCACACCTCCTCTCTACATGCTGACCCTCTGACTGGGCAGTCTTCCTCTCCCGATGCCACATCATGGGGTCAAGAGCCATACCTGCTTCGTCTCCTTCCGAGAAACTCCCCTCTTCCAAGCCCCCGCCTGACAGCTGTACATCTTGCTTATTCTCAGAGTCTGCCCACACACCTGGGAAATCTGACCTTGAGATAAGAGTTTCTGCTTCTCTTATCTCAATGTGTGGAATCGGTCCACATCCCAAGGTCTCCTCCTGCTTTTCCTCCTCCTCCTCTAAATTCCAGCCAGCAGGCCTTGAGAATGTGGCTCTCTCCCAACATCAACTCAAGTAAATTTTAACAGATCATTATCTTTTCGGATGGTTACCTATGTTCCCTCCATCTAGGCGTGTTCTTTCTATTCTCACCTTGTAACAGATACCATTTTTCAGTGCAATATAATAAACAAAAGAAAATAAAAGTGCATGCAGGAGTGTGTGCGTGAGTTTAAAGCAAACAAACACAGCAGACAATGGAAGCGTAATTATAGGATGAAGGATTCCTCTGTGCTCAGAACCATTCCTTCAGTAAAACACAGAAAGCCATTATGGTTCATTTTCAACAGCTCTGAGGACAAAAGAAGGGGGAAAAGAACCAATTAAGAGACATGCACTAATTTCTGAACCTGCAATTACAAGGGTGACAAGAGCAGGAAGATACAGTAGCACTAAAATAAAAAGTGACAGGCTAAATCAGCAAACACAATGGAAAACCTCTCCTGTGATTTCTGCATTCCAAAACACAGCTTGGCTTTGTTAAGCCTGGCCCCACCCTCCCAAAATTGTATCAGGTCATTAGCACCAGCCGAAGTGTCATACAGATGGGCCACAACGAGATGTAAAGAAACATAAATGGAGAATAGGCTGGGCTCAACTTCACTGCCTGGAGACAGAAAATGGGAGAATGGAGGAAAGGTGTCGGGGTACCTTTAAATGGAACATGACAGAGTGAAGTGTTTTTGAGCTGTGCTGAATTCTTCATCGGCCAGAAGGGAAACTTGGTATCGCTTAGCCATCTTAAAGAGCTTCGGGCAAAAAGTGTATCTATTCCATCTCAAATAATATTAATATTAACAATACTCTTTTAAGAAATTCAATTCTGTACATGTTAAGCATATTTGTATATTTTGCACAATTTGTTCTATATTTTTGCCATTGAGGCAGTGTGGGATTACGGACTTCATCGTGTCATGTTTGGCATAGGAGGCTGGACAAGATGGACTCTTTCTCTGCTTCAGCAGGAAGTCTTGATATGTTTTTAGAACCAGCAGAATCAAGTGAGGCAGCTCTTTCTTGGTGACCTGTGCCATTTCAGACCTCTGAAGTGATGGACTACATGCCTGAACATCCCCCATGGGTAAAGCTCCCTGTAGCTATGCAGGCTAGCATATCAACAGGAAAGGTGGGCTCACCTGATCTTAGAGTGGAACAGTTGTTTGATCATTGCTCGTGTTGGTCCTAAGAGATTAAGGAGGCCCTGAAAACAATTAAAAGTGGCAGGAGGACAAAAGGGGGAAGCTCCTATAAAAGAAGAAAGTCTTTATGTACTTACTGTAGCATATAAGGCTGAATAAATGCTTAAAGCAGCATGTTTGGATGGAAAGGACCTCCTTGCCTTCTCAATCACTTCCTGGTCTCCGGTGCAGATATTTCCGTTGTTAACAAATGGATGATGAGCCCGGCAGTCACTCCCAGTGTAGTTGGGTTTACAAACAGTCAGGAAATAGGGTGTCAAGTTCCCCGTCACTACCTGGCCAGCATTTACAAATATGTCTGTGGCAAAAAGGCCAAATGCAAACACTCCTGTGGGAAGGGAAAAAATGAAACAGGAAGACAAGGTGTGTTACTGTGATACCGCCTGGAACATGAAAGAATGTGTAGAAAGGAAAACAGTCACCCTGATGGCTTCTCTTTCAAAAGATGAAATGGAAAACTTTCCAGGGAAGATTTCCCTGTGCTCAGGGCAAAGCCATGCATGATGACAGAGACTTGTGATCCTGGAATTTAGCAGACAAGTGCAGGAGGTCCAAATCTCACTGAAGCAATGGAAATACAGGTACAGGGCCAAACATCCAGGCATGCTGCACTGCTGCCCAACCTGGATGCAGGCCTTGGTTCCTGTTAAGTCCTGAGGCACCAACATAGTTGTGTATCACCTCTGAAGGCTTCCGACATCCTTTAGGTCTTTGAACACATATGATGGTGCATGAGCTGTCCATGTTCTTAAGTATGCTTACTTAGCAGTGTAACTGAGACATCAGGATCCTAAATGTGGAACCTGAGGCCCATGGGCTGTGGCTATTCCTCCACCGAACCATAGTCCACTGCAGTATAGAGCAACCTGAGTCCTCTAGGCCCAGAGAATCAGTTCCTCTTCTGCTTCCTAGGTGTGTGAGAGAGCTGGAGAGAGGTAGAGAAGGAGTTGCAGCTGCTGTGTGGCCCAAAAGGAGGGCTTTGTGCTGAGTCATGACTGCAGGTGGGAGAACTGAGAGAGGAAGGAGGAGTGGGGTGGGGTGGGTGAGGGTGAGGGAAGAAGTTGGGAATGTACTCCATGAGTGATTGGATCAAGATCTGAGTTAAAGAGGTGAACATGGGGAAAACTGCAGAAATGGACAGACAGCTAGAATGGGTAGTCCTCCACAACAGATGAATTCACATCTGTGTTAGTGGCAAGAAAGATGGAATGCCACACAAAGTGAGATAAAATCCTACAGTCTCTGCACACTATTGGTTCTGGCTGTGCCCACAATCAGACTTGGTTCCACTTACTATCAGATGTCATACCTGATAGAAGTCTCCTGTGGGTCAGTGGCCCTTGACAGAGAACTGGTTCCCCATCTGACCTAGATGTCTATGAATGTATGTGCCTATCCACCTTCTTTTCCTGAACTATTTCATTACTGGAAAGATACTGTGGGTGAGTTCACACACAATGACAAGCCATGGTAGAAACCATGGGGTTATGTCTTGTTGTTATGTCTGAACCCAGTATCCATGGAGAAGCATGGTACATTTGGTCTCCACGGAACCACGTGGAGAAACACTGGCCTGTTGTAAGGTGTCCATGCGTCACTATGGCTCATTTGTCTGTCTGTTTGCATGTCTGAACCCAGCTGCCATGTTGCTGCACAGCTCCCATATTTCCACCATAGAATTTTGTGGCAAGAGTGGTCCTGGCTGCAGCAGACACTCCAGGCTAAATTTTCCACTATTCTGTTCCGCCTAGCAACTGCTGCGTCAGAGCCTGCTGTGCTCTAATTGGCTGCTTCTTGCTCCTTTTTGCCCCTTCCATGTTCTGCCTTCCTGATGCCCGGCTGCCGCTTCGGACTCTTGGCAGCATCAGGGCGCTGCAGCATGAACTCCGGTCTGGCTGCTGCACTTTACTGAAGCAGCACTTTGAAACTGTGGTGTGCGAATGCCTCATTCAGGGAGCCAGGGCTCTCGTCATGTGAAGGCTGGCTCGCACCCGAGAAGCAAATGGGCTCTGTGTGGGTGTTGCCGTCAGGGCAATTGCCCGAGAAGTCCCAGTCTCCCTCTCTGCCTTCTCTTCCCCCTTCCAACCCTGTCTCGTCCCTGACATTCCCAAGGACGCTCTACAAGTCCTGCTGCACTGGCTGCCCCACCATCGCTTCAGGACAAACACTTTCCTGGCTGCTAGTCAGAAAACTTTCCTGGGCAGATGTCCAGATGGACACCCTTGGGAATTGTGCAGGAAGACATGCTCCTTCCTTCCTTCCCTGCCACAGTGTTGGGAATGAATGAGGCAGTTGTCCGTGGGGTGCGCTTCAAGGCCAGGGAGACACAGGCTCTTCCAATGGGGAGGAGGAGCCCTGGGAAACGGGGCCTCCAGGTATTGAGATGGAAGAGGCAGGAGGGCTTATCTAAAGGCCGCAGTGAGGAAGATGGAGAAGCATGAAAAGCACGTGTGCATGGGAACCCAGCTCCTGTCTGAACCCAGGCCACAAGGTAAGATACCATGCCATGTGGATATCGCATGGCACAGCTTAGTATTATGAGTGAATGCACCCCCCGTCAGAAAGCTCAGATGGAAGGAAAGGTAAACTGCATCTGAAGAACCTGTGGCCTAGACAGCCTTTGCCCACAAACTCATCTCCTTAAGAAAAGCAGTGATAAGGAAAAGAGGCTTTCATAAAGAGTTGGGGTGACTGTGATAGCAGCTAGAACAATCCTCTCTGTCTCTTCTTCTTTCCATGTATGAAAGTTCCAAGCTCTAAGCAAGTTGCCCCACTTGGTAGCCAAGTACATGGAAGTAACGCATCCCCACCTGAGACCTTCTTCCAAATGCCACCTCCAAGGTGGCAACAAGCAGGAAAGTCTTAGTGGTACCCATTCCAGCCCCTGCCCCCCCAGCACTGCCAGGCTCTCCCGTTAGGCCGACCTGGCGTTAACTTTGTCATGTTTTCAGTATCTAGTTAAGAATGCTTTTTCCCAGGCATTTAAGGGCATAATGGGGAATTTTTGTCAGTTGGTTTTAATAGATCTAGTGTGGGCTAAAATTATTTTAGCTTTTAAATTGTTTTTAAATTTTGTATATTGAAAGATTTCATGCAGTATTTTACTGTATTTATGGCCTATGTTTTTCTGTTTTGTTGTTAACCACTCAAGGTTGTTGCTGGTTAGGGAGATTGCAAGGAACGTGTACCTGAGTCACAACTGAGCACAGCCCTACTGTGCATGGATAGGAATTCACAGAGAACAGGTTTGTGGGCATCAATGCAAAATCGCTTCTGTTGAAGATGGGGTAAGCCATATAATGGCCGCTAGTCAAAAATGAGCTAACAGAGTGGTGGAGAGAAATAACTGGGCTAGAAGTTAGGAGCGAGGGGGAAATAGCAAAGGGGGGAGGAGGAGAAAGAAAGAGCCAGACTAGAGATGTGGATTGGGGAGAAACAGCTAGGTAAACATGGGGAGAGTAATAGCAAAACTAGAGACTGGGCAAAGGTATAGAGAAGGAGCAAGGCCAGAGGTTAAGACTGGGGAAAACAATGAGGCAAAGAGGTGGGGGCGATATCGAGGCTGGAGGCAGAGGGATAGAGGGTAGAGAAACAGCAAGGGGAAAGCTAGAAGTGAGAAAGGGAGAGAAAGAATATTACCCTAAGGTTTTCCAAGATTTTTATTTTCTTTTTCTAAAGAAGCACAGAGAAGAGAACTGTGTGGGTGCTGTTGAAGGTCCCCATAGGTCCCATGGTGTTCAGGAACCCTGACAGAGAGTAATGCCATTGCTTAAGAGGTTTGTCTATAACAAGATTAATTCTGATCCCTATCAAACGCTGCCCAGGTGATAAGAGAGAAGTTGATCTTCTCTTACAATACATTTAAGGATTAGGATCCAGTTGTTTTTTTAAACCATCCCTTCTAGTTGGCAAGAAAGTAGCAATCGCAAGTATTCTGGTTAACCCTGCTTATTAAAAATTGACTCTGCTGATGCAGAAAGCATGTACGCTTTTGTTACATGGAGTAAAGCTACAGTATGGTTATCCAGCTGTCCCAGTTTTAGGTACCACTAAGCTTTGCATTTGCCATCAATGGTAGCCAGCATGTGACATCTGTTAATACAAATTAACAGCAAATAATAAGTAACACATTTTTGCTGTCTTATTTCTAAATAGCTGGGCTGCAGATATTGGTTGTTTGACAGCTGATGGTGGGGTATTGTATATTTGCGACTTAATCCTGCACCAATGGCATTCTTGGAGTGTGAATCCGTATGTAGCCAAAATGGCCCAACCATGTACAAGAGGGAGAGATCTGCAGACTCTGAGGAAGATTGTGGTCTCCGATTCCCTACATTCCCAAGGCTACAGGAAAACGTTGGTTTCACAAGTCCATCATCATCATCATCGTCACCACCACCACCACCACCACCACCTGACATTTCTGCTCCGTCAGGTTAGACTCTGAGTTGTTCTCTTCCAAATGTGTGATCAATGCACAGGGAATACTGTTTCTTTAATATAAATAATCTTGCGTCAAATGCAAATACTTTTTTGCTTTCGTTCAGTAACAAGTATACCTTCCAGAATACACTTTCGGTTGCTTTTCTGATAGAGAATCTTAGGGAAGATTCTTATGCTGCAGGGGCAATGTGGAGATGGATTACCATAGGATTCAGACCATTTGTCCCTCTAACTACGATGCCAACACTGACTTGCAACGTTTTGGGCAAGAGTCCTTTGCGCCCTTTTAGGGTACAGGTGTGAAGTGCCAGTGTTACATAGTGGTTAGAATGCTGGACTAGGACTGGGGAGATCCAGGTTTTAGTCCCCGCTTGGCTGTTAAGCTTACTGGGTAATTTGAGCAAGTCACTGGAACCCTCAGCCTCAGCTACCTGATAAGGATCTTGTGAAGATGCATAAAGAGGAGGATCTTGTATGCCTCTTTGGAGTCCTTCAGGAAAGGCGGGACATAACGTAAACAAAATATATACAAACATGTGGCCCTCTAGCTATCGTGGGACTATGACTCCATCATCCCCTAACCATGGGCCATGGTTGAGGCTGATGGAAGTTGGAGTACAAAAACATCTGGAGAGCCACAGGTCTCTCTGCCTTCTCTAGTGTCCCACTGCTCAATTGCACCCTCCTCATGTAATACAGGAACGTAAAAGCCAGCTGGGAGGGACAAGGCGAGGGTTAGACAGAACTGTGGCAGTGGCACCACATTGCTACTACCACCCCATCCCAGCTTTGCATGCCTGTTTCTCCAGGCTTGGTTTCTGCATTCCTATGTTACCAGATTGAAATGGGATGTGCTCAACAGGAAGCAATAGCTACTCAACTCCAGGAACATAAGAACTGGTCCTTTCAAGCAATTCAACATCCCAAGGGAGCCCAGCTTGGTCCCATGTCTTTGAACTGGTGGCATCAGAGATTCAAAATATAGGAAACAGTTTTATATCTGTCTATGAAGTCATCCTGGAAGGTGGCCTATGGATGCAAAGTGGTGCAACTAAAGCAGTCCAAGATTCAGGACTCTGAGCCATTCTGGCCCCGGGCAAAAAAGAATTAAGAGAGGGGAAAAAAGGATGTGCTTAAGAACAAACATTCGTTAAAGTTAAAGCTGCTGAGAAGTATCTCCATATGATAGCCAGGAATTTAAGGTGAAATCTTAAGCAAATTTATTCAGAAAAAGCCCTACAATTCCCACCATCCCTCAGTCAGCATCCTGAGAGTTGGAGGCTTTTTCCCAGTCTAAACGTGCATAGGATTGTGCCCTTAGCGACATAAGCACTCCACAGGCGCTTTTAGCACCGATCCTGTAGGCACTAATGCCTTAGTGTACCATCCAGAATGCACTGAAGCAGCACAGTGGTGCTGTGTCCTGAAAAGCAGGCTGGCCTCATGCTCTGTTAATGGTACTTTAAGCCCATCAGTCAATACAACCCAGAGGCTGTCTAAAGTTCAAGGGTATTTTTATTTTATTTTTAAAATAAAAGATGCCTGGGCTTTTGTTTTCCCCAAGCAATCTCATTGCTTACCACTTAATTACCAATTACGGGACTAAGGAGTAGGAAGTAAGACATAGCAGCTAAGAGTGAACTGCGAGTCAGGAAGCCCCAAGTTCAAATGTTATCCAAACTGCAAACTCAATAAATCCACTCACCAGAGCTCCTGTCTTGGATGGGGTTGCACTTCCCCTAAAGGACAGGGGCCACAGCTTGGGAGTGCTCCTGGACCCAAAACTTTCATTGGAGTGTCAGGCAGACTAGGTTGCCAGGGGTGGCTTTTTCCAGCTGTGGCAAATCCGACAACTACAACCTTATCTGGATAGACTGAGCCTGACATGGTTGCTCATCAGCTGGTAACATTCCTGCTGGATTGCTGTAATATGCTCTACAGAGGGCTGCCTTTGAAGATGGTCTGCAGACTTCAGCTGGTCCAAAGTAGGGCTGCGCGTCTGGTATCAAGTATCAGTTTGTGTGCCTGGATAACACCCATTATGTTTAAATTACACTGGTTGTCAGTTGAAGCCTGGGAACCAATTTAAAGTTTTTGTTTTAACATGCAAAGCCCTAAGTGGCTTGGGACCTGGTTACTTGAAGGACTGCCTTTTCCCATATACTCATACCCACCCATTGAGATCTGGGAATGAGGTCCTTCTGAAAGAGCCATCCCTAAAGGAAGTAAAAGGGATGGTAATTAGAAGAAGGGCCTTCTCAGTGGCTGCCCCCCACCTTTGGAATGGACTTCCTAAATTGGTCTTCCCGGTGCCATCACTACTTTCATTTTGGTGCTAAGGTTTTTTAAAACTGACTTTGACACCTGATTGTAAAAGTTCACTCTGCTATCATCAGTTTTCCATGCTTCTTCCCGCTGTCCTTATAGTTGTACATGTTTTTAATGTTGTTAGCCACAGAGAGCTCTTAGAGGTCCATTTTGTGGCCTATACATTTGAAAATAAAATAAAAATAAATAAATTAAATAGCCTTATACTCCAGGAATCTGTCCAATCCATTTTTAAAGCCACCCAAGTTAATGGGCATCACTACATCTCATTCAGTGAATTTCAGAATTTAGCTAAACTAACTCCCTTCGTCAAAACAATAGTTTTCTTTCTCACAGCAAAGCAACCTTTATCTAATATGCATACACACACACACACACTTGGCAAAGGCATATTCAAGGTAATTATCTCAGGTGCTCTTCCTAATATAAGTGGGAGCCATATGTAAGGCCCAAGAAGCTATCCTGGCTTCTGGGTTTTGTGAAATTTCTCTACCCTTAGCTGCTGAACTTTAATAACCTCCTTACCATTCTGGTATAGCCCATCAGACACAGTATTAGAAGAAATGAGAAGCTTTCTTTTTAATATCAGTTTCTAAGCCATTCTCTTCATACTGTCTTTGGGGAACAAACAGATGATGAACGTTCACATCAGAATTCCCTCTTATTTAGACTTGGAGCAAAACATTGCAAAGTAGTGGTACTGATATTAAATGTACAGAGAAAATAATACTGATGCTGAAGGCACACATTCCTCAAGTAAAACAGCAGTAATATTATTTGGGAGTCATCTGATGGATGAAACCTCTGTTCCCAGAGAAGCAGCTGGTGGGAATATATAGGGCATCATGTACATGCAGTTTAGAAGTTACGGAGTGTGGTGCTGGTTTCAGAATTCAACTGCCTTAAGAATGTCAGCTTTTCTTCGAGGGGTAAATAGCAAGTAAATTTGAAACAATATATTTTAAAAGCTGTGGGCAATGTTTTTTTAAATCTCCTAAAACAGAGGAATAGCCAAGAAGAGCGTTTCAGTGCCTTGTTTCATTCTCCATGCCTGTTTCCATGGTTAGCAGAAGCAGAATAAATTATGTGAACTGGCGAAAAGGGAAGAATAAGTAAGAAAAATGTAGCAAATGTGGCACTTTCAATATCAATACTTATATAAGACCTCCTTGTTATGAATTGCACCTACCTATATTAGGGCAGAGAGAAAACTGCCACCATTTCCAATGCACTCTAAATTGTGCTTGAAATACCCTTACCTCACATCAATGAAAACAGAAAATAAAAATGGAGGCCACGAGGGCAGGAGGTTTCAGGAGTGTAAGCTAACTGGTGCCACTACTTGAAATTTTCCTAAGTGGAGAAAGGCAGTTTTGTACACAGTAGAACTACCAAAAGGTATCTATTTGTCAAGCAAAGAGGAGACAAATCTTTGCATATAATCCAGCATTCTGAAGTTTGATTTGGTAACTGTGAAATATGGTCTTAACAAAAAACTAGATAGAGAAACCTTAGGAAGACAGTGCAGCCACTAAATAATTTGTGTATTTGTGCGTATGGTTTAATCTTTTCATTATTTTAGGTTGCGCTGCATACGTTATGGCTTACCTATAAATCGGATAATTCTTCGGAGTAAAGGATTCAGGTAACAGCATTCTCCTGTCAAAATGGTTTTCTCCTGGACAATCAGGCTCTCTCGGGTAGACTTGATGAAATACATGGATATCTCTCCAATAAAAATCTGCAAAAGGTGAGGGGGGAAAAGAAGCTGAGAATGACTAAGGCAAATATGGTAGTCATCACTGAACCAAATCTGGTGTATTACTGACGCTCGCTGTGGGCATCAAAGCATAGAATGACACGTTACCTGAAACAACTTGGGGACAGATTACCTGAAGGACTGCCTTCTACCATATATACCTGCCTAGACTCTAAGATCATAGCCAAGTGTCCCTGCTGAAAGAGCTCAGGTGAGTCACTATTTTGAGGAAGGCTTTTTGATGATGGCTGGTTGTGGAAGGCACTTCCCAGAGAGGCAAGCTGAGCACCTGCACTTCAGTTCAATTCAGCCATTCAGGTAAAGATCATCTTATTCCCAGCATTTTCCCCTTTCAGCTTCTGTTTAGAATCTGTTTCTTTGTTTTACAACTTTGCATTGCTGCTAGGTTTTGTTTTGTTTTTCATTTTTACGTTATACTGTTAGTTTCAGACTTTTATGTTGGATTTGATTATGTTGTATATTATTGTTGCAGTTGCTGTGAACCACCTGGAGAGCTTTGGCTATTTGTCAGTGGCAAAATGTAATAAATAATATCTTAGAAGACAATTTTTTGTCGCTACTTCTCTCTCTCCGGAGTGCTTTTCTCTCAGCAACATCTCTGCACAGCTGATGCAGAAAAGAGATTGCTTTCCTTCGTCTTTGCTCCTCCTTGACTCTCCATCCCATCCTCCCCAAACTTCCTTGCTCGATTTCCCCCATTTTCTTCAGGGGAAGAAATTACTTATTTCAGCACAAATCAATGATTTAATGCTGTTTGTTGAAGCACACCGGGGGGGGGGGGCAGGTGGCTTCTCTGAAAAAATGTTGTCAGAATGGCTAATAATATCACTGGCTTTCTCTGTGTGGGAGGGAGACAACATCAACTGGGAACCCCACGATGCAAACCTGGAAGCACCATTGTACTCACACAGTTGGGGGTCTCTCGAGTGCATGATGCATCATTTCGTCTGAGCTGCCTGATGCTGCCTGTACGCCTAGCAAGTCCTCTGGAAACCAGGGAGGCTCACTCCCAACTACACATACACAGAGCTGGGTACATTTTGCTTTATTCTGCCTTGTCTCTTCTATGTACATGTAGGAAACCTGTTGTCTGCAGGCCACATGCGGCCCTCAAAGTCCTTCTCTGTAGTGTGCCATGGGTGCCCTCGGCACCCCTCACTTTGCAGATTTCTTCCTCCCCTCCCATTATTGCCGCTGCTACTATTGCCAGGTCATGCCCGCTTCCTGCCCTCTTTGACTGAGTTTGGGGCCACTGCCGCACGTGGTGTTTCTCTGACCCTGAATTTCCCACTGTGGCAGCCACTGAAAGTTCTTGCTGCCCAAGGCCAGCTGTGAGGGCCACAGTGTCTTTGAGCAAACACTTGCGCAGCTGCTTTCGGCAGGCTGGGGATGGGAGGGGGGTCCTGGTCTCTGGGCAAGAGTAGCAGCAGCAGCTGCTCCTGCAGGTAGCAGAAGCCTGACAGTTTAAAAGGAAGCAGATGGATTGTATCTGGATGAGGAAATAACGAAGGGGGTGCTATTTGAAGCGAAAACAAAACAACAGAAAGCAGAGGAGGGCAATTTTAAAAAGAGGGGGGAGAAAAAGAAACACGTTGATTTATTTATTGCATTTATATTCTGACTTTTCCTCTAGGGCAATATACATGAGTTCTCCTCTTCTTCATTTTATCTTCACAACAGCCCTGTGAGGTAGGTGAGGCGCAAGTCAATGACTGGCTCAAAGTCACCCAGTGAGCTTCATGGCTGAGTGGGAACCAGGACCCAGATCCCACATTCCCAGTCTGACACTCAGACCACTTTGCAACACGCTGGCTTGCATGTTACTCTGTGTTGTTTGAGAAGAGAAAAGAAAGCATGCTTTTCCATTCCTGTTCAACTGGAAGTGGCTGAAATAAATAAATAAAAGCAAAAGACCACTCCTGGTTCTGGACACACACGGTGTTTGTGCATGCAGAACCAAGCAGATCAATTGACAGTTCAGCTCCTAATCTGAAAAGGTGGCTCACCTGTCCTGTCTTGAGCAATCCTGCCTCTCCCACAAATCTTCTGATGGCTGGGTCTGCCCCGATCAGAGTCACATCTGAACAGAGCTTCTGTTTGGCAGGTGAATGCCTGGTAAGGGCAAGGGGATTAGAGCCAAGGAGCATTAGCATAATGATCAAGCCAACTTCATGTGGGGAGGAAAGGACCCTGCCACTGGTTATTTCCCAACAGCCGTAGATCACTTCTTGAGTCACAAGATCCGAGATCCCTCCACGGCACAGTCTGAACCCTCAGGGGAAGAAACAAATGCTCCTTTCCATCTTCCATGTCCTTTGAACCAAGCTTCCTGGAAACCCCAGGCCGTAATTGTGGCTTCCGCACCACATTTTCTCCAAAGGACCAGAAACATTTGATTTGATTCATGAAACCTGCTCTATACTGGCCTTTGACCGAAGAAAGGGCTCCTAAGGCAGGTAATACACCAAAATGCCACCATTTAAATGTGATTTTAAATATGGTGTTTTAAATGTGGTTTTAATTTTTTGAAGATACTATTTTTTTCTCTAATGTTTTTATATTGTGATGTATTTTAGACTGTGTTTTAATGAAATGTTGTAAACTGCCCAGAGAGCTTTGGCTGTTGGATGGTATGAAGGTTAAATAAATTTACACAACAGAATTAAAGCAGAAAATTATAAATCAAGAAGGGCAGAGTTAAACCTTGGCACTCAAATGAAATAAACATGAAGACCCGGGTGGAATAAACCTGTTTCTGTAGCCAGCCTAGCTAAGAGTAATCAGGGCTAGTTTAATCAACTATGGCAGGGGATTTCTTTCCCAGAGAACCGATACATATAAATGCCACAGTGTGTGTGTCTCACTGTATGCATCTATTCCTGCAGCAACATTATATTATTTTAAATGGCCACGGTCAGAGGTCCTGCACTGCTGCCGCCTGCACTCGCCCTCTGAATGGGAGACTGGCTGGATGCCCTCTCCTTAAAGTCTGTTTGCTGCCCTTTGAGAGGCCCTTCTCCAAATTGAGGCATTGTGAAATAGCCTTGGAGACTGCCCGGAAAGCTCACCCACCTGATCTCTTGCTCTGAGCTTTCTCCCATGGCAAGGAATCAGGAGGCAGCACCCTTGCCATCGCTGCCTCCGACAGAGCGTTTGAAACAAGAGGCGGCTGGCACTTGCTGCAGGGCTGGGTGAGGCTGGCGTGGAAGTGGTGGTGTCTGCAGAGGCAGTCTTGGCAAGGTTCGTGTATGACCCACTGCCCTGCCACCCCACTGGATCCACTGCCTGAGAAGGGGGTTCAGGCTGCTTTATGGGAGGGCTGGCCCTGAAAATGGCTCTTAACCACAAGCACCTTTGGGATTGTTCTGGCTGGACCCTTCCAGGCATACAGTAGGTGGATGCACTTTGCTGATTTCCTGGGTCTTCTTACTATAATCTGCTCACTGTGGGGAAGGAGCAAAATGCTGAGTTTGCTTTGTTACCTTTTGGTTTAGTTTCATTGGAGACCTGAACACCACAGGATGCTGGGGCTGGATTCAGCATAAGTGAAAATCGGTGTTGCTGCACATTTAATGGCTGAGGACATGAGCAGAGAGAACTGAATTAAGCAGAAGGAAGGGGACTGCCGAGCAGCAAAAGGGAACAGCTACATAAGAGAAGGACAAGAGCTTAGGAGGCAAGCTCAGCCATGAAAAGCTTGGACAAGAAGCTGAAACTGGTCGGCTCTTCTGCACCTCAGGCAACCTATCAAGCCTATTGAAAGCCTATTTTCCTATTAACATTAGGAATCTGCAACAAAATGTTGCAGTTGAGCTGAGCTGAATATTCCTCCCCTTTCCCTGGACAGGTCTTCTGCAGTGAAGGTGGAGGCAGAATATTCTGGCAGGAAAGACAACAGAGCCAGTGTGGTGTAGTGGTGAAGAGCGTGGGACTGGGACTCAGGCGATCTGGGTTCTAGTCCCCACTCAGCCATGGAGCCAACTGGGTGACTTTGGGCCAGTCACAGACTCTCAGCCCAACCTACCCCACAGGGTTGTTCTTGTGGGGATAAGATGGAGGAGGAGGAGGATGTAAGCTGCCTTGAGCCCTTTGTAGGAAAAAGGCAGGATATAAATGGGAAAATAAATAAATAAATATAAATAAAAATAAGAATCTGGGGGAGGCAGATTTTCTTTAAAATGCAAGGTGGTCTTCGTGTGGAAAATAAGGTTTTCTCTTATGAAATGTGCTAATGAGGAGGGGGAGGGGGAGGAGATGATGAAGAGGCTAAGCTGTGAAACACAAATTTCTTCGTTCTATTCTTACCACTGCCCTGAACACAGTAATTGCATTCAGGTAAACCACTCTCAATTCTGACCTTCCTTAGAGCATGATTACTGAAATGTAATGTGATGTTGTTATTTTTCCTAACCCTAAGCCATGAAGACCACCTTGGATGGCTGGCAGTATACATAAGGCATTATTCTCTAATCAAAAGTTGCCATGACTTTAGCGAATTAAGTAACTAGACTTTTAGACCACCCAATAACCTATATTCTCTCACTCAGATGGATTTAAATATATGAGATGCTTTCCTGCACGTGCTAATTCTCATGGGGCCTTTGCATGGCACATATTCATTTGATCCCAGCTAAAACAAGGTCTAAAACTTTCTACATACATTTCTTCACCTCCACCCCTTGTTGCTAGGGCCTTTTCTTCTTTCCGTTTATTGCTTCCCTCACTGTCAAAATAAATAAGCAGAAAGCTGAAAATAACTGAAAAGAAAATCCCTCTTATATGATACAGTTTTACTTATATAATGTCATCAGGAAGAGAAAGGGATCAGAAAAGACAAGGAGTGAAAGACAGGAGGGAAGGGGAAGCTCTTACAGACACCCAGAAGCACCTGAGAATGCAGTATGAGGCACAGAATTCAGGCATCCATTCGTTTTCAAAAAAGCAAGTTACCTGTCCCTGTG